ACCTAGGAGACTAGGAATATTCGAAAGTGAGAATAATATGCGCAAAAAAACCGTTCAATGAAGTAGGCAAAAAATAGAGCAAACAAAGATTGTTCCTAAAGTGTTTAAAGAGTGTTCAAAAGGTGCTTAACCTATGTTTGAAATCCTCTTAGTGAGTCGAAGCAGTAAAGTCAGCATAATTGATGACTGGCCAATTCAAAGGCCTATTTATTGTGTCTACCTTGGGTTGTGCAATAAATTTTCAGCATCATCTCGCGTTGATTCCGGCGAGGCAAAAAGCTTCCCATCTTGGGGAGGAAGATTTGCTCCCCAAAGATGTGGGATTAGCAATTTGCGAGCCTAAGAACATAAAAGAATCTGATGATTTTTAAGCAGAAATAAACTGTTGGATCATTCTTTGTGAAATAATCACTCCTCTAAATCAGCGCCCGACAGGACAGCTTTCTCGGAACGACCTGAAGTAGGACGCGATCTTCATTCAAATGAGGAACTTGACTTGACCCACGCAGATAATGGAATACCGGTTGTGCTATTAAACGAAGTTATAGGTTTGAGCATCAGTTTTAAGCCAACATGATTAAAACCCTAATTTATCCTCTCCCAATCATCACTTATAACGGCAGCGCTCTGTTATGCTCTTGCTCGTTGCTCGGGAAGGTTTTCTCTTTCACTTACCGTTTGTATTTTCATCCGCGATGCCTAAGGTGCCCTCAGTGTCAGCTCCCACTCGGGTTGTTCAAAGGTCGCCGGCGGCTGGTAAGACCTCCACGCGAGCGCTTCGACCTTTGCGCACCGGAGTCGACCACGTGCCCCATTATATGTCTAAGGGTACTAAGATGCGACCGACGGTAAGCGCGGCATAATGACAGGTATATGTGAGGTAGAAATAACTTATCTTGCTACTTGTGTGTAGGCTCCAGCTACGATGCCTCCGAAAATAGCATCAACGAACGAGACGAACGCAGACTTTGAGACTGTCCATGAAAACTGCACCAAAATGATCAAGTCGGCCGAAGAACGACGTCAGCGACTTACAGCGCGCCTCACTGAGCAGCAGCGGGAAGCTTCCGAGGCCGAGCAGCGGTTTGACGCCGAACGAACGCAGCTGAACGCTAAGATTCGGCAAATCGCCTTAGAAAAACAGAAGACTAATGAGGAAGTGCGACAATTGAGAGAACAAAACGTGGTCTTGCAACAACGCCTGGATGCCGTCAGCTCGGATTGCCAGAATCATGTCACGCGGGACGAACTCCACATGACCTTGAAGGAACTGCATAGCGTCTCGTCGTCGGTAACAGAGAAGATTGCTTCAAAGATAAACGAGTCCCAAGAATCTCAATACGTGTACTTCGGTACCTGCTTACCCGGGCCCGATGTGGCTCAAGACTCGTGGCCCGCGCAGACTGGCCAATTTACCATAGCGGAGAATCCCCTTTTACCGGAGAGTACGGGGCCATTGTTTGATGTATCGAACTCTCAAAACCTCCCTGACCTTGACACATATGGAACAATGCCTGACAGTATGGGTTGACATTGGGGACCAAGCAGCCTCTTGTTAATCTTCATGTTCATACTTTTAAACCGCAATGAACTCGAAATACATATTTGGTAGTATCCACGAACAATCTGAATACTCTGCAGACAAACTTTCTATGATTCGTGTTTCTCATCCTAAAGCAAACGTAGTATGCCTCACGATCAGATTGGGGCTAAGGTGTCGGTCGAAGCCGGCACCTGTCGCCTAGAAAATGCGGAAGCCAGCTTGGACCAGAAGGCTCTCGAGAAACACCACTCATACTGTAGGTTTGTATCACTGAATTGCTGTTTTTCCACAAGCGAGGCCGCCGGAGTATAGGGCATACTAGTGCGAATCGGAGGCTAGATAGCACATTGACCAAAACAATCGCATTCTTAGCTAGCCAACGCTACTGAGCTTGTGACTTTCAAGAAGATCGCTGCTGTACCCTCCGGGCTTCTCCCGTACAAAGAGCACATTGAATGGCAGAGGGAAAATTCCGGTGGGCCCGATACGTTGGTCATGGTAGGGGGCTTAATAAGAGCTGAGGCCAAGCGCCGTCAACAGAGAGGGACTTGGTCGCGGACTGTAGCGGTCGCTTGGAGGAATTACCTTAGGACCATGGATTGTATGATGAAGCAGTAGGCCAGGGCAGAGCAGTTAACATTATTTGGGTCAGCTAGCGCTGAGTTGGGGGCGAATCTAGTGAGTTTTTGACGGTGGAGTTGGTGGGCTAGGTTTACAGTGCTCTACCCACGGAAGTCCAGTGCTAATCAGTATCGAAGGCGATCGAAAAACGACCCGGAATAACAGGCATCCCGGAGGCTAGAGCTTCACCAATGAACGTTGGCTAGTAGAGGAGGGCGAACTCGGGACTAAAGTCAGCCTGATTGGATGTCTTGCTGAACCGTCTCGGCGTTCCTGGTATCGCTCGCTTCCAGCCCCTCGAAGTCGGTGGAGGCGTTAGTAAGATATGCGTAACGGTTGTCTGTGCTCCACCGGCTCGTTCCTCCCGCATATTAGCCACATCTCTAAACAAACCCTCATATCCGGATATCTCCCACGTTAGAATTGCCACCATCAGCTACCCTCTCAAAATGCCAAATACTGGGAATTATCTTTCCAGAGAGAAACGAACGCCGTAGGTTTGCACGTTTCCGACACACATCTAATCTCCATGAAGAGTAGTAGACTAGCGCTAGGGCGGACCTGGGAGACATCTACGCCTTCCCTCGGTCTGGCGGGAACAGCTTCACTGGGCTAAGGGCTTTTAATGGTCAAACCATGGGTGGCATCCCCGTCTGCACTAACCGAGGGCTACAGCTTTGAAATGGGGGATCGGTTATACCGATCTAACGCAGGTTGAGTTGGACGGAGCAAAATTCTCAGCGTATATTTAGTGTTCTGGGTCGATCTTCGCAGTCAATGGCCAAAGCGCGATGATCTTCCGGCCATGTCCGATATAAGCTTTGGCCGAATTCGATAGAGCGAGACAATCCACCTAGAGCCGTCATTAATGGAAATTTCTTCAAACAAAAGGCGATAAATACCCGGAATGTGACACAGCTAGAATCCTGCTCCACTCTAGTTGCACAAGTACTCGCTATCCATACGTCGGTACTAGGGACTGATATAATCTAGCAGGGGCGGATAGTCCGAGGCCTCAGCAGTATCTTAACTAAAACACCGACGACGAGAATAGGGAAATTCGTCTGTGGTAAATTCCTCTTGATAGAGCGCCACTCGTCATATCTCGACAACCATCGGCTTTAGGATAAAGGGTCACTAGGAGCGGAGCTAAACGCACCATTGCAAGATGCGACTTTTCAGGGATTGATGAGTCAACAACCAAAAACTATCTCTAAATTCAAATAGGTTGTTCCGCTTGAGTGTAGACTACGTTAATATGTTTACTTTTTGATTACCATTCGCTTCCTACCTTTGGCACGCCTTTTGCTCCTCTTTTGAACAACTGAGGAATAGTTCCTTCCCGCTATTTCTTGTCCCTTGTTTTAATAGTTCTGTTTTGCAGGATTTTTTTGCTCACTTCCAATTCATCTATCCAAAGATTGGGTGCAATTTATCAGTAATAATTGTACATTCTTTCTCCAAACAGTAAAGGTGATTAAAGCAGCAAATCCATGTTAAAACTTGGGAGAGACGAGAAATGAATCTCGAACCCGATGGGTCCTTTTGAGCACCTTTTGAACATCTTTTGAACATCTTCTGGCCATTGTTCACGTCATACTACCTTTAACTTTGCCTAATCTTCGCACCTGTTTCAAACTTCGTTTGCGGGGCCCCCCCTCCTTCAAAAAAATGATTATCTGTTATACCTACATTCTCTCAATACTGAGTATCTCTAAATGCGCCACCCCGCTAATCATAACGAGTTAATATATTCTGATTGATGAATCTGTATTCGCACCCAGTATTCCACGTTCCGCATCCCCAGAAATCTCGCAACTGCCAAATTTCACGTCCCTAGTGACCAACAGTATCCTAAAGATGTCCTGTAACTTCGAAATCCTGAAAGGAAAGGCAGAACTAATCACTCTGAAGTGCACCATTTTCGAACATTCAAGTCAATTGAAATTTAATAAATCGTAACGAAAACCAAGCGAAGGACACAAGAAATTGACCTCAAAATCGATTGGTGCCAGTAAATCATTTTAGATTAACCATTACAGCTTACTGCTACATGAAATCTCGGAAACAAGGGTTACCTATTGCATGCCTTTTGGATGACCTTTCCTCAACTTATGTGCAGACTTTACTTTGACGAATTTAGCTCGCTTTGCTCACTTCTGCCAAGCTTCTGAATACTTACTGCTTTGACAACTTCTTACTTGTTTTTCCACCCAGGCTTGGCTTAGTCTTCGCGCTTATTCTGCACTGCGTTTTGGGCTCTTTTGATAACTCTTTTTGATCATTCCTTCTGACGCTACAGAATACTCTTAATGACGATCCCTGCATTAACTAAGAAAGACTTCAAACATATCCATGGGGAGTAAACATCCTCACTATTATTTCCACTCTTTTCTGACTCAACTAGTGGAATGCACCGAGTGCTGAAGGTCCAATGGAATAATGAAATGAGTGGCTGATTTACTGTCGCCTTAGCAGATATTTGAGTAAAGAGCTTCTGCGCTTGAATGGCGGCTTTTGGTGTTGAGGTCAATTTGACTAGATCAAATGTTTAGTAGCGTAGGCGCTCGGAATGAGATCTTAAGCTTTGAAAGTACCCTATCTAGGTCAACTGGGAAAGGACCTATAATAGCGAAGTTCTTCAGAATAACCGAGCATTGAAAGGACTCGATACGTGCCCTCAGAGAGTCGACCACGCGCCCCGTTATGTGTCTCGGGGCACTTAGATGCGACCGACGGTAAGCTTTGTAGAATAACAGGCAGACAGACGTGAGATATAGATATATACCTAACTTTTGCTGCTTGTACGTAGACTCCAGCCTCGCGGTCTCTGAAAATGACGTCAGGGCATGATATGAACGCGGACTTTGAGATCGTCCAAGAGAACTGCACCAAGATGATCAAGTCGGCCGAAGAACGTCATCAGCGGCTTGCGGCGTGCCTCACTGACCAGCAGCGGGAAGCATCCGAAGCCGAGCAGCAGACTGGCGCCGAACGGACGCAGCTGAACACAAAGGTTCGGCAAATCACCTCGGAAAAACAGAAGGCTATTGACGAAGTCCGAAAACTGAGAGAGCAAAACGTGCTCTTCCAACAACGCCTGGATGCCATCAATTCGGATTGCCAGAATCATGTCACGCGGGGCGAAGTCCAAATGACATTAAAGGAACCGCATAGCCTCTCGTCAACAGGGACAGACCAGATTGGTACAAAGATGAACGAGTCCCAAGAGTCCCAATATATGTACTTCGGTACCTGCTTAACCGGGTCCGACGTGGCCCAAGAGCCCTGGACCGCGCCAAACGGCCAATTTACCATATTGGAAAATTGTCTTCTACCGAAGAGCACGGGGCCGCTGTTTGATGCATCGAACGCTCAAAACCTGTCCCATTTTGACACATACGAAATGATTTAGGGGTCAACACACCCTGATGTTGTCCCTATTATCAACACCTTTAAACCGCAATGCATTCGAAATATATATTAGGTAGCAATTAGCTGTAGCATTAATACTATGAAGACAAGTTTTCCATGATTCTTTCGATTCATCCTCTAGTAAACGTAGACACACCCTGGATCAGGTTGAGGCTAGACCGTTGGTTGAAGGAGATATGTAAAGCATTCTCCAGTACACAGATCTCGCCGGACGTCTGGAGCAACTACGCTGGAAACCATAGGATTCTATGATGGAAGTGTAGTACGCTAGGGTACGATGAAGCGGCGCAGCACTATTCGAACCGTCGGCCAGCATTGAGTTGGGGCCGAAGCGAGTGACTCTTTGATAGTGGGATTGGTGGGCCGGGTTTAAAGTACCAGGAGATCATCCGGGGCAAGTCCGACGCTAGTCAGTATACAAGGTGATCGAGAAACGGGCCGGAAATTCGGCATGCAGAGGCTAGAGCTTCACACATGAACGTTGGCTGGTGGGAAACGGCGACCGTTCACGCTAAAAAGGTGGGGGGGAGGGGGGGGGAGGTTTACCCGATTGCAGATCTTTCTAGATGCAAGCTCTTGGCGGCGCTCGTTCCTCACACATTTTAGCCACATCCTAAATTAACCCCGCATCCGAAATCTACCATTCGAGGATAATTAGTAGGTCCTAAACAGACCTCGTGGGAGCTAATAGCCTAAGGAGAAAGCGAACGCGGTAGCACGGGGGTGGCATAAATCAAACCTCAATAAGAGTAATAGACGCAGCGCTCAGGCAGACCTCGGACCTCTATACACCGTCCTAGGTCTGGAGGGAACACTTACACGGAACCAAGGGCCTTCAGTTGTCGAACCATGGAAGGTGGCCTCGTCTATGCGGTCACCCCCGTGAGGGGTTGCCTCGCCTGTTCTTATTTAGGACTGTGGCTTTGACAGCGGGGATCGGTGACATTGAACTATCGCAGATTGAGTAGGAGGGGCGAAATTACTAGCATATATTTCAAGTTCCGGGTCGATCTTAGCAATCTATGGCCCGAGCGCTATGATCGCCCTCGGCGATGTCCGATAAGCCTTGGGCAAATTCTAAGGAACGAGCCAGTCTACCTAGAGGGGTCTTTATTGGAGAATTTTGTGGCACGAAAGACGAGAAATACCGGAAATGCGGCTTACTTAGATTGTTTCTCAACCCCAGTCGTTCGAAGTCGCAAAAAGCTGCTACTACAGGTCGCTGCCAGGGATCGGTTCAATCCAACGCTGGGGATAATCCGAAGGCTCAGCTCGACTCCAACCGAAACCCCTGCCGACGGTAATAAGGCCTTCGTCCGTGAGATATCTCCGATGCCCGCTAGGAGCGGACGGCAGCAGGAATGTGCCGGGAGTATGGTCACGTAAGCACTTTATGGTGCCCCTAGCTAACCAGAACCTTTCTTACAGCGCTAACCCTCTCCGATCGGCCTCAGAAGAGACAACTCCATGTTCGCCAGTTCAAAGCCCTCTTTGCGTGTAGCTACCTAGTTATTCCTATGCTTTAGCTAAGGACTTGACAGGGCACTGGAGTTGGGACGTGGGTCATAACGAACTATTCAACTGCCATGGCACCGTAGTTAAAAGGAGGGTAAACTTTCCAAAATAGATACATACACGACCCAGGATCATATTAGCCTCATAACATCGCGGGTAGCCACCAGAGTAACTATAGGACAATGCCGCTTGGCGGGAACCTTCCATTCTCATCTGACCCCGAGACTCTATCATCATATCTCCACGTAATCCACCATCATAGGGTGCATCTTTTCACTGCGTGGGCCGTTTCGGGCGTCCTGGCCTCCGCTCCACCGTGCCATTTCTGGCCAAGGATAAGGCGGCAACCTTTTCTTGTAACGTGGCTATGGTTTTTTTGAGGATTTGAATCTCGTCATAACCATGCGCCATATTCTCCATGTTTTGCTGCATATTTCCATTCCAAGCGTTCTGTTCCAAGAACTGTTCTTCTACACCCCTAAAGAAATCCATCAGCATGGAAGTGACCGGAGGGCTTGCTCCTGGTAAGGTTGGCTTACCTGACCCGGCTATCTAGGCTAGCGTAACTGTTAGTGTTCATCGCTTATATTCTGGAGAATGGGCGAATCAACGCACTCGGTGAAAACTTTGCTCATAAGTCTGGGATCTCTCAGACTGTCCCCCGGGATCGTCCCGGTCCCGTCGTAGGCTACACCTAGCGTGTCCGCGGTCTGGTCTTCCGCTTCTGTTTGTTCCTGATGATATTCTTCCATTGTATCTTGGTGTTCCTCCACACATGACTGTTCGTCGGTGTAATCGAAAGCGCAGTCCTCCTCTGGGGAGGCAGCGGCCGACTCGGGCATGCTATAGATATCGGAAGGCCTACTAGGCTTGGGAGGGAACATTTGAAGCCATTCGGCGTAGAGGCCCATAGAGGTTTCGTCGGGCTCGGCGCCATGCATAACAACCATGATGGCTAGACTCGCTAGGTGGACAAGTTCAGCAAGTTGTGGTGGTTGAAATGGGTGTTCTGAGGATGGGCCTAGCGAATATATATAGAAAGGATGCAAGCTCAGGCTAGCCCAAATAATACAGCGTGATACCGTCTGCTTACCGTTTCTGTGTATCCTTTGCCCTTTCTGGCTATACCGTAAAAAGATAGTTAATGACAAATTACCATTACGGATTATCTAGTTGCGGAGCTTGCACCAGGGCTCTCTAGAACATACCATCGATCTGGATGGTGTGGTACGCTATATGGGCTGTCAAACCAATGCAGTCGAGCGGGCGAGCGGGCGATTGACTATATCAATAGGGAAGTTCCGCACTCTTCGTTAAGAAGGGAACTGGGATGTAAATTAAAGACGTAAATACAACACGTTTTGCACGGTGTCAGGGAGAAATAAGACTAGGGGCCTCTTTCGACGGGTATGGTCAGATAAAAGGTTGTAAATTGAACAGATCAAATATATTGTTCGCTCAGCAACCGAAAACTGAATATTACATTTATCTCTCTAGACTTTAGTCCAGATGGTTGGTTGCGGGATTGATCAAGGGTGTAAACGAGGTTTAATTGTTCAAATTGGGACTTGAGCTTTAGCCGTATTAAAAGCTAGATTGTGCAAAATCCTCGGTACCATATAATCTCTGCCTCACTATCCAATTTAACCAGTGACAAAAGGGGCCATCAAAGTATGTTCCTGACTAACTGAATTCGTTATAGTTTTGAACAGCGTCGTAAATGTTGTCGGTGTAGTAAAAAAGGATTTCGATAGGTAAATGTCTGGCACTTCCCTTAGTCCACTCATCATTTCAACATTTCAAGCGTTTCTTCTACTCATCCACACTGGAAGCCTTCTTGTTTTGATACTTGACTTTGAATCCCCCCACAAAATGTCTGATGGAAAATACACTCTTTGGACGGTGGAAGAAGAAGACAATCTTCAAGAATGGATGTCTCATCATCAGCATTTGCCCTGGAAGAAAAAGCGCGAGGAATACTTCAGGCAGACTGGGAAATGGAGGTCTATCAGCTCGCTACGTAGCAAGCTCGAACAATTAGACCAGGGCATTCGCCGGCGACGCCCTCTCTATGAGGAGGTTGTCCAGCCTGCCTATGCACAGAAACTACCCCTTCAGCGAAGCCTTTTGGAGAATCTCCCTCTTTCTCCCCCACCGTTGATCTTGAAGACTCCCGATCCAGTGGCCCGTCGAATACTGGAGCAATGGCGGCAGGCTGAGGTATATCAAGACTCTATTTCAGCAAGGAGGACGTTGCCAGGGGAAGTGTTCACCCCTCCATTCACTCCCCTTTCTAGAAACCCAAGTATACAGAGTGAGGACTGGCACGATAGCCCACTTACGAAGGCACTTCATGCTGATATTTGTTTAGATTCGATTGAGGTGGGACTTTTCTATCAGCGCACCGACGGAACAACTTGTGGATTACAACACCCTTTCCCACATAACGGCCATACCAAAGAAAGTCACGGTAGCCTCGGACTGGGTACAAAAGATAGCAAGTACGTGTGGTGCAACTAATTATTTTTGGGCTTCTATATCAAACATTGCAGGCCGCGGACTGATCCAAGGAGGAATTGCCTGAATAAAATCTGTTTCTCTGATGACGGTATCTTCTAGATTTTCAAAAGTATATCTTAAAATCAGTACTCAATGTATCACGGATATGCGGCGCTAGATTGTACTCGTTGTGGCTAATGGTACTCATCCCTCAAAGCAGATCTTGGAGAATAGTAGCCCCGAGGATGAGTTGCACTGGTCTAGATCTTCAGAGACAAGCAAAGCTTTGCCGAGAGATTTACCCTAGTCTCCACAATCCCTACCCCTGGGGAATGATCTCCAACGGCGAGCTCTCTAGCGTGGGTCGCCATCTTTTGAATTAACCGTGTGAGCTTTTGGAGTACCGGAGTTCGCTTTCACTTCGGGAGTCTCCGGTTTCACCCTCGACGCAGGATTCTTCCGCACTATATCGGTTGCGAGTCGGACAATAATCGGTGGTATAGAAAGACAGCGTGTCCCCAATTAATACGTCCGCTAAATTACGACCCTAAAACTCAGACAATTCATCAGCAAGGGTATAAATTTAAGGACAGAGTTCATTATCCAGGTTGAACTAAAGTCTGGAAATTCTCGGAGATAGCTCGCCGATCGGTTCCACGGTTGGTAATCTCCTAGTGTCGTTGACAATGGCGAATAGTCGGCCATTAAGGGGGATCGAATTACTGACTTGATCCAATACTAGTGTTGTTCCTTCCGGCCTTTCAGGTGCAGCAAATGCTAGCCATTACTAAAGGCTCCTGTAGATGGTTGAATTCAAATAAGTGGATTTCAAGGGAAGGCCCGGAGTCCTACCCGGTCGGTATGGGCCGTTGGGGCCCCATGGATTGCCTAAGGCGGGCCTGGGGAGGAATGAGTGGGTGCTGGCTCCACGGTCGGCAATGTTGTCGTAAGCGTCAGCTAAATTACAGCGCTCGCCACCAGTGCGGATCATAGCACGTCGAGAGACGAACCGCGGTTCACACCAGATAGCTGCTCCTGATGTAGCACGCCGAGTGGTCCGAGCGCGATGATCAGGTTACTCCTAGCCGCGTGGTTGTTTATCCTAGCCTCGCTTCTTGGAAGGGGGCGGGGGCGAAGGAGGCCGGCAACGTATATCCAAATTGTAGAATCAATGATGAGCTTCATATTACCATTGTTTGCATGAAGGGTGCTGCGCTCGCACGTTATACGTGATGATCCGTGCGCCAGAAGTTATGCGGGCCACCCCAGAACTCACATAGCGACAGACAGTACGGAGCCTTTTGCTCGTTTGATTTTTATCGCTAACGAAACCTACTCCAGTCTCACTCCCCGGGCTGTGAAAGCAATCAAGTCCATTGCGATGAGCCAATCACGGGAAGTCCGAGGTACCATCAGCCATATCCCATGGTTTATGCTTGGGGTCGTTATTAACTCTCAGGGCCCACAGTGGCACTTTTCATGGACCGTGATGTCTTTAGAGGTGGTTCAAGTACTGCATTCCAAACACCTCATGTCGCACATGCGTTAGTCAGAGTAGCAGGTTTGCAGCGCCGATAGATGAGACGGAAACTTCCAGCGTTCCGATCCTAATTTACTGGGAGAGAGAGCCCTTGAAGTGACTTGGGGTATCTATATCAACTGCCACAGGCTGTGGCCTGATTGAAGGACGTACTGTCTAAGAATAACCTGTTTCTTTGACGGCGGTATATTCTAGATTTTCGAATGTATGTTCTACCGTGCTTAATGTATACAGATATGCGGCGTTAGTTGGTACTCGTTGTCGCAAATCCATCCCGAGAATAGTAAGACTGAACTAGATCTTTTCAGTGACAAGCAAAAGCCGTTAAGAGATCTGCCCTAGTCTCCACCACCCGAGGCAATGATCTCCATACTCCAAAGGCGACCGATGTAGATGTGGGTCCCCGATCTTTTGACGAATTTGGCCCACCGAGGTAGGGAGGGGTAGAGAGCAGTGAGCATGATCGCTGAAATTGAAGTCAAATTTCACCCTGGATGCGTTCTTCCGCACCAAGATAGTTGCGAGTCCGACAGTAATCGGAGGTACAGTAGTTTTCGAAATCAGTTATACCTGCACACTCTTCTGACTTCCTTCTCGGAAAATAAATCCGCCTAAGGTGGGCTCTGATTGGATTAGGTATTCTATGCCCATTTCAGACCGCCTTCCACGACAGTCGCTGTATTTTATAAACAAACGTCATACCGAAACGAATGTATTTTACACGAAACCGCTATACCAACACTTTACAGCCCCTCCTTTCCCCTCTGAGACTCAATACTTCCCTCTAGTGCAATTACGGCTCTTTTTAGTTCTAGTACCCAATTATTTCAAGGCGACATAGCTCTAACACTCTCTCCTGCGAAGCTCGTTATTATACGTGATATGATAGAGCGCTAGTCCTTTACTATATTTGATAAAGCCGATTAGTCCGCAGAAACTTACGACAAATTGAAAGTATTTATATCTCTTGAACGGGAGTAGGTTGGAAACGAACTTTCACACCCCTTACAATTGAAGAAGCCCTTCGTAATTATCTATGGGAGAAACCTGCCCCGTTCCCCGATAAGATAAGTGTATTCCTTTAGGATCAGTTTTAGGGTTATTATACAGTAAGTTTTCGAAATCAGTTACACCTCCCACGCTCTTGATTCCGCCACACCGGATTCCTAATTAGATGTTCGTAGATGATCCACTTCTTATACCGCCTTCTCTAGCTAGATCCATAATTTGCAATACATCTCAGATTAATGCAATCCGTGTACACATTCTTCGTCGAGAACTACTGTACTTGATCTTTCCAAGCCGGTAATGCTACTGACAGGATGGAGTGCCCCTTCCGACACTTTGACCAGCTGCTGGGGAAGCTACCTCCAGAGATCTGGCAGTGCGTCTTAGACATAGTAAGTTAACAGGACAGCACATGACTCTCTGATAATACCTAACTCAAGTGACAATTTAGTTAGACTGTGCCAGCCACTCCTCTCTCAAAGCTGCGGTGCTCTGCAGCTCTAGTATGTATAAATTGACCGCTCCAATTTTATACAAGACTCTTTATCTAGAGTGCGATGGGTTTAGATCCGATAAGATCTGGGAACAACGTACACTTCCTACTCGTCTCTGCGCATACGTGAGAACCATTATCGTGGCACGCCCTCTTGGGCAATTTTGGGGTTTTCGCTGGACTCAGTTCCCTCGTGCCTTTATCGAATGTCTATACTACTTGTTCAAGGTGGCTGAGAATCTTCAGAATGTTTGGTAAGCCTTCAGAATGTTTGGTAAGCTTCAAAAGTGCTGTTTATTTTGCCTGGGGCTACAAACTGATTTACTCTAGCTGGTGGCATGAGAAATACATGCCCGGAGAAATTTTGTATCAGCTTTATCGATACTGCCCCAAGGCAAGTGTCCATATAGCTAGCTCCAAAATTGCGCTATGTGAGAAAACCAACCAGAAAAATACGTCGTCACCCCATCTCTCTTGCGTCCGTTCGATCGAAGCAGAATGGTACGACGGAGAGTATGACGGACCTATCAAGCCAAATGCAAAATGGCACGCTCCAGCTGATTTAAAACACATTATTTGTCGATGCAAAACCCTTAAAAGTCTTTCATTGGTCAGCAAAGGGGAATTTAGACCTCGTTTAAGGGATATTTCGCCTAGCTTGGAGAGAAAGGAAGCTGATGCCAAACTTAATACCGTTGGGCTGATAACGCTGGAAGAAAGTGATGTTCTTCCGCTGGTCATAAATTTGCAATTTCGCAGGATGAGATTTGGGCCTTTGCAGAGTTCATTGTGGGCGACGAAGCTTCGATGGCAGAACGTCAAACACTTATCTTTGATCGAGATAAATTGGCTTCACTTACTGCCGAAGCTCACCACCAACGGGTGCTTTCATTCTCTTGAAAATTTGGAGATGAGTATTCCGAATTTGGTCTCCCAATGCATACAGGATCGTTCTGCCTCAGTCGACTGTATAAGCCAGCTCCACGCCTTCCTAGAGAAGCTCCCACCTCTGAAAATGTTCATTGGGTATGGCTTTCCCCAGGATACTCTGGCTGTGTTGGCGAAATATCATTCCAAATCCTTGAATCACTTACGTTTTCGACATGAACTCAGTTCCAATTTTGATACGGGAACAAATTCATTGGGACAACCTCATTCCATCATCATATGGCACCAGCTTCCTCATATCCGGTAAAGGCAAACTTGCTCACGAAATTGTGCCAACGAAAAATTGCCTCCATCGCAATCTACGGTCACAGACCGATGAGAATCCTAGAGACCAATTTGGGGATATGGGAAGGTCCGTAAGAAACCGGTCGGGGGGTGGGGGCATACAGTGCGCTCTTCTTCAAAACACACCGTACCAAGCCCTAGCTCGGTGGCTTGCAAGACCGCCTGGCGCACGGTTGCCCCGTCACCAACACCATGGACTGCTTCCTTCGAAGTTTCCTCGAAAACGACCAGATAAAGCTCTACGAGCGGCGTCGCCATTCCCGCGAGTTTGACTTTCTGGACAGAGAAATGAGCCTCACGGAATACATCGTCAGAACCGACCCTCTCTGGTCTACCACCCTAATCGACTGGCCCCATCGCCCAGTAGAGATCGGCTGTCCAGAGCATTATGAGGAGATATTCCGAACTACGCTCCACTCTGAGATCCCACGGGCTCCCAGACACGCTTAGAAAGACCACACACCTGATAACTCAGTTGGTCAACCCCCAGGATCCGTGATCAGAATTCCTCCTCAGAAGCTTCTGCGCGTCCATCTTGATGACTACTGTTACCTCTCTGCTCAGCTTAATGCAGTGAAAGATGCCCTCTGGGATATGCTTCGATGTCTCGGGCACGCGGACGTTCACGACATCATTTTTGGCTCAAATGTGGCCAATGTCGATACCACCGATGATCAAACTTTCGACGTACAGAAAGTGCGGTTGGCGATTCGTTTGGCGGATGCGAAGATTACTGAGGTTCTTGAGCGGTTTCTTCCAGGTAAGTAGGTGGACCTGTTGCGTACATTGCTCGTTAGTATGGTTGAATGTCCAGTTGTTGTCGTGACTGTTGAGCCCTTGTGTCGTACTAATTGGCTGAGGTTGAGCAAACTCATTCTGCAAGAGCTGAGGAGATACACTAAGATGTTCTTGGAGGTTGAGTTCCATCCTGTCTATCAGGAGGATCAGGCGAAGCAGGAGGGGAATTGAGTATCTGTGCTTTGGGCGCTATCTATGAACCGGTGGAGCTTATTGGATTTTTCTGACAGTGTTACTCTCTCTGATTCAATGTTTTCTGAGACCCACGAGCTTTTTGTATACCTTCCGAGGGTAGGAAAAGGGACTTATGCTGTCCAGGGCAGAACTAGGAAATGGGTACAATTTGCTAGAAAAGTTTGGGCATCGTACGCTCCAATTATTATGTGATTAAGTTTCCAATTGTTAATAGTTACATTATTCCACCCAAACACTAATAGCCCTGCGCATAACATCCTGAAGCCACACCTCCTCAAGCCGAACCGGCCCATCAAAGCCATGCTCACCATCCCTCACAGTCAAAGTAACACCTGCGTCCTGACCCGATCTCGTTTTAAGAACCTCATTGGCCCGCTCCACAAACAACTCAACATCCCCCAACGGCACAACACTATCCTGCCGCCCATGAAGCATCGCAATTCCACCACGTGGAATCTTAAAATCAGGACTCTCCAATCGAGCCATGGGATACAACACCTCCTTTGCAACACCCTCAGCATCACGCCGATAATACTTCGAGAGATATCCATGCTGGACAGCACCAAGCATAAACGTTAGACTTTCTCCCGACGTGATAGAAGACTTAGAAGTGCCCAGCACCGCAGCCTTGAAGTTCTCCTCAACCATTGATTCCGGGAAATTACTTCCGAATGGCGGGTTAGCCCGGGATTTGATGAATGAGTCCGCATCTAGAGCCACACATGGATATGCAGATGAGGCCGCGCGGATTTCATCTGCATGTGTGAGCGTTAGGTACAAACTGAGCAGGCCGCCGGCAGATTCACCGGTGACGAAGATACGGTCGAGATCGAGCTTTGTGGGTGTTTTGTGGTTTGCTAGGAGGTTGGTGAGAGCTGGGGAGTGTAGCCATGTCCAGAAATCTTCTAGGTCGGCGTAGATGTCGGCGCTAGTCGCTTCTGGAAGCAGGCGGTAGTTGGGGCTGATGATGATGGCGTTCTTTTGGATGGCGAGGTCGGAGACCCAGTGTGGCCACCAGTCCATGTATAGGGAGTCACCCATCATCTGGAGGTGGATTTAGTATGGCTGCTTTAATGGAAGAGGGATTGAAGAGAGTGGAATTGATTTACCAGGCCACCGCCATGGACGCGGACAATCAATGGTCTTGCGCCAGCGTACTCAGTTTGCGGAATCAAGATATCAGTGCGAATGCCATGGTTGCCAACGGACTTATAGTTGGTCTGGATAATATCGAAGCCATTGAGCTTCGGGTCCGAGGGAATTGCCATAGTAGAGAAGAGTATTGAATTAAGTATTGAATTGAGTATTGAAACAGATGTTGCAATGTTGAAAGTGATGGATGTCCTTGTTGTCCTCTTTCCTCGTGTGCTATCTACCCATTATATAGACCTCGTCTCCAAGAGTCTCGGATACTTTGGCCCCCGGAGCCTTGTTATCACCAATGTAAGCGAGTGCCCATAGTTCCACGTATGCGCCACCAGTCACGAAATGCCGTTGGTCAGCCACCGCGGCATTAATAATTAAGTGGTCGGTCAACGAGCATAAGCCCGATCTCGGATAATTTCCGGACAAATATCGACCCATAAGGCTCGCAATGTTTCCGTCCAATCAATAATGGCATTCGGAAGGTATACGTATTGAATTTTCCCGGAACATTTTCGTCAAGCCTCATCCTCAAGCCATAATGAAGCTATCTTGGTCCATGAATCTAAATGTCTCCGTTCACCGAGTGATCTCCGGTTGGTCTTAGGTCATCTTCCGTGTCCTGTGACATCTCCCGATGGTTGATTGTCACTGGCCAATTTATACAGTAGTGGATACAGGTTGGCGGGTCCTCCTGATAGGATCTTTCTTTTACCCACACAGACAGCTGAATGAACCTGAGAGGCTTTGGGCCAGGTCTACTTATTGCTCGATTCCAGTCTCAAGTACGCTAGACGGAGAGGGGCTTGAGATAGATCGAGCGGCGTACGGGCTGCCAAAGTACCCGAGAGTTGGGGCGTATTCCCCTTGTTCAGATTCGTAGATTGGGATGTGTAGTCGATATGATACGGCCTCTGTGTCATCTCTAATAAGCATTCGAACCTTGGGATCATCCACATCAGCTTATTATTAGAACCATGTTTCAACGGCGGGCTGGCAGCGAATGAAAGTTGCAAAGGTGCCATAAGCCATGAAAGTAAGAGATGCATCTTTGCCTACCAGGTTTAGCTTTCTACAGGATAGGCGTAGCCTTCTGTGTTATGACTAGCGGGTAGCTGCGTCGGGTACGGGAAGAACGAGGGGCAAGAACGGGTGGGAGAGGCGAGGAGGCTGTAAGTAGGCTGGACGATCATGCCAGATCGCCTTAGCTCCCAAAAGTTTCTAGGTGGTTCCATACAACCTTACAGTATTATTACGATGACTCATGTGTTATGTATGGCCATTACTATCACCGTTTTGCCAAACTTATAAAGCGGTAAGCTAAAGAAGGTTAGCGTATCTCGGATTTATTTTCCGGGAATGAAGTCGCAAGAGTGTGGAGGTATAACTGATTTCGAAAACTACTGTATCAAAGACCACAACGTGATTTCTACAGAATCATCTCCTCAAAGTCTACGACCTTAAAAACTCAGCGTGTTCCGGAGTATGAAATTAGATTACGAATCCATTATGAAGCATTGAACCATAGTTAAATATTCCTCGGAGATTGCTCCTTGAGAAGTTCCACGGTCGGTTTTTCTCCTACTATCGTTGACTTAGCGAGTAGTTGGTCATTGGCGTTGTAGATTCTTGATTGAGGAAATATTTCACTATTTCAAAAAATTACCGTTGCTTCTTCCGGGCTCTCCACAAAAATGATAACTATCTCTAGAAGAACTTAGTTGATTGAACTTCAATAGTTGATTATTAAAGCGAAGCCTGGGAGTTTTCCTGGTCGGTTTGGGCCGCCTGTGTCCCACGGATTGCCTACTCCAGGGCTAGTAAAAAATGGGAAGGTGCTAGCACCATGGTCGGTAGGGTCCCCATTCGTAAGCGTCGTACGGCTAATTACAGAACCACTAGCGTGGACCTCAATTATCTGGAGACGAACCACGGTTCGCACCGACTATACTGCTCGCAATGTAGTGCGTCGTACAGGTCCGAGTGCTGAGATCTGGGGCACCGAGCAGCATGCCTGCTTGTCTTGACTCTGTAGAGAAGAGAGGTCTATATGCCAAGCCTACTGGAATTCATCCTTTGGCAATTGAATGGGAGCTCAACCATAATTGTCTGATTTTGTCTGATTTTGTCTGATTTTGGCTGATTTTGCGCTGTGAAACATTGAATATTGATGTTTTGCACAATGCTGATCACCGTCGTTGAAGGAGCAAAGCATCTCGCTGGTCAAATTCAAGAATACCCGCGATCCGCGAAACTTTGAGAATAATCAGCATCAGAGACTACTGCGCAATTTACCTTTAGCACTGGGCGCTATTTCCGAGGTATCGCGTTAATATTGATCTGTAAATGAGCTTCGTTTGCTCAACGATCCCATTCATTAATACCTCATCGATACACGTCGAATTGGTTCCTGATCGGCTAACTCATAGAGTGTAGCGGGCCCCGACAGGAATGTAAAAACGGGCACGATGCCCACGCAAACTCCTGGCTGGGGAACAAATCTGAAGTTCGGGACCATAGCAAGGGAAACCCCCAAACACTCCATCAAAGTCAACCTTGCCTGAAAATTATCAAGTTGGTATAAAATTTGAACAAATTGAATGCGGAGCTGACACCCTTATCACGCACAGGGCAATGGATACAGAATCTGGCGGTCAAGATGGGACGTGTCTTGCAGACAATGAAAATCAAAAGTACTTGTCGGCCGTACACTCGCGGGTAACAAGGATCCGTTCCGAACACTTTCTACCCATACAAGAAAAGTTAATTTCCGCTCTTGGACTCTCGAAATCACAGCAAGTAGTCTTCGAAGGTGTGACAAGTTTCGCACGGATGTTTGGCGTTCGGCTTTTGAGCGATGCGATTTCTGTCAAAGTTACAGATTTGCTTTCAAAACCTCTACCCGAGGTTGTGGAGGCGGATATCTCATATGATGAAGACGAGATTATTTGGGCTGATGTTATTGGGGAGCTTCAGTTTGAGCCGCAACTACAAAGAAATGGCAACTATCTATGTCGCGTGCAGAAGCGTAACGCACTGATTGAGATGTCCGCATGGGATCACGACCTAATTTCCACGCGCCGAAAGCTTGTCCATCCTCAGGCATATTTGAGCGATATGTTAGCAGAAAGGGACACCTTGGATTTAATGATGAGTGCTCTGTCATCGTGCAACGAAATTGCCTTACAATGTCAGGACGCCACGCTCTCGCTTCATTGACAAATTGCTGACGCATTTAGTCATCGAAACAAACAAAGCAATCCTCACAAACCTGACATATAAGGTAGAGGCTCTTGAAGAAGGTTTGAGCAATATATCAGGCTCTTCTCAACCATCTCAGTTAATTCCCTGCTCGTACCACCCGAGTAGAGGTCATTCAAATTCTCCACAATTCGAATCAGACAATGAGGGTGTTGAAATGACCAGGTGTGTGGATAATGATGCTGGTGAGAACCCCTAGACTTGGGATTACGACGAGTTAACTAAACAACAAGATCTAGCCTCACCTCAGTCCCGTCGATGGAAGTCACAGGATTTAAAACGCGTACTACAGTGGTTTAAAAAACATGAAAATTTGTCAGATGACGAGATTGAGAAGCATTTTGAACGCGATTTCCGTCATTTTCGAAGTTGTAGTGCTATCCGTGCCGCTGTCTGGCGGGTAGCACAAAAGAACGGCAGTTGGCGCAGGCAAAAGAAAAGAGCGAGGCGGAGAAACAGAGGCTCAGTGTCTCCTACGATTCCAATCACGCCAGTGATGAAAAGCACTGAAGGCCTTCGTCACTTACCAACATCAGACACGTCAGCGAAAGAAGTTTCCATCCCTACTTTGAACCAGACCAGGTTGGGGTCACTGAGAGACAATGATACCCGTGTGCCTTGCTCACCACTGAACCAACTTCAGCCAGAGAACCCTGTGTATCGAATCCTAAACGATCAGTCAGATCCGACTACAACGTCGACGAGATTATATGAGGCACTCCGAGATGGCCAAAATGGTCTGACTCAGGGAACGAGGAGTTCTGAGAAAACAATGGCAGATGGTGAGTTCCTCAGCCAGCAGTCTGGAATCGATCACAACGATTCGTGTGAAGAAAACGAGGGTGTGGATGGTGGGAGGTATGCTTTACACACAGCACATGCTAAGCTTGTCCCAAACACAGAGGCATTTCCGTCTAGCGAACGCACCATATTTGCTTCAGATGTTGATATTAGCCCATCAAGATCATCTTCCTCAAAGCATGAACCTACAATGCCTTTGACCAAATCTCCCGATCCGCGCCCTAGATTCCTCGGGCATTTGCTAAATTAGCTTCGGATCGTTAATGTATTCAGTTGAGTCCTTTCTTGTTTCATTTCATTGATCGGTTATATTTAATGAATAAGAAGTGAAGAAAACAAACCCACTATAACCAAATTGACCATTATTTCATCACCGGTAACCGTGCCCGTAAGATTCTGAGGCTCTGCTTTCATCAGATTGGAGACATCCCGCATTAAGAAGGTATGGATCAAGTTTAGGGAGATAAATAAGCCTTCAAATAAATAGTTTGTTGTATTGCAGTCCACTTTATCAATTCTGCCTCCTTTCTTTGTCCATCTATATGTGCGTAGTATTCTCTGATCGGTTGATCGATTCATAGGCTGTCCTGGGGCAACTTTCGGAGAAGGATTGGCGTTTTGGATGGAACAGAACTCAAGGAAGATAAATTCGAACGGCCCGTGAAAGTTAGATACAGGTATTGGCAAGAATACTATCCATAAGAGATGCGATATACTGTATCCTCCAAATAGTTTGTTATCGTAGTAGCACATTTACTGAGACGGCTCCAGACGCAACACCGATTCCACCTCCTACTGTATGCATATAATGGCGTCTTATTTCGGTAAATTCACATTTGCAGTTTCCATCTGATTGAAAATATGACAATAGTATCTTTTATCAAAGCAGAATAATACTAAGTGTAGACATTGTTGTTCTATGATTACTTAGACGTCGTGAAACGGAAAACAAGACACCCTCCCGTTAGTTTTAATCTCAAATCCAACTTCAGTCATGGAGCCTCAATAGATAACGTCATTCTTATCCTTAACTCGAGTTAACAAAGCAAGTCCAAGGAGGTCACGGAAGACCGAAATAAACAATCATAACCTGTGGTTTGGCAGACTAAATTGACCTCTCACATAAAACGATCAACAATGTTCAATAAGATTAATTGAGGAATCTAACACTATTAGAATCCGAGGGTCGGGAAATCGCCTTCCACTGTTTCTTTATTCCTATTGAATCTTTAATCATCATGCCGATTCTTAGAAACCTGTTCAAACTGACCTGGGAGGCCCTTTGAGCTCAGTGAACGCACATGATTCAGCGGAGCTCGCTTTTTTCAATTCTGTCCTATCCAATCTTCTTAAAGACCCTATGGCAAAGATGCATAGGTTGTCATTGATCCGTATGTGGCTCGTTGGGTCTTAGATTCTACGTGATTATTCTTCTGCTTTTCTGTGCATTAATTTACCTTGCTGAATAAATAAGCTTAGTCGATTCATTCAAGGTCGGTAATTATGTATGGCCTTTTCATAGGGCACCAAAGAAGACGAAGGTTATTACATGGCGCAAATGCAGCTCTCTTCTTATCTAGTCGCGCGTTGCTAACGCGTCATCGCTCATTGAGAATTTTCAGCATCCATCCAATAGGATTATAGCAGCATTACGGATTGTTGGACACTTCTTGGTCTTGCCTTTCAAGGCTTTTTTGATTTATTAAATGTCTGATAGTGTACTGCGGCCTTGCCAGAAAACGGTCCAGGTCATTCTCTCTTCTATACTATTAAAGCCGAAAACCAGAGTTCCTTAATAATGTGCTTATTGAATCTCTGGATAGCAACTATCTTCGGCTTTTGGACATTGGGTCAAGCATATAGCCAACATCACGGCATCATATTGTCTCAAAGTGCCCCTGAAGCAAGACCCATGAACACAAGTCGATTCTACTTGAGAGGCGAATTTCTCCGTGCACCTTTCTCCGCAGCGAACTGGATAAACACCATAGGCAGTGTTGGCAGCCTATATGGAAGTAACATTATTGAAGTCTCTGGGGAAGTCGCCAACCAATACAAATATGTGGCACGATTTGAAGGTCCAGTACAAGGTCAAAGCTGGACCGTGGTGGTTTGGAACAATATGGGGCCTGATGGATCACTGGGCGGATGGTACGGGAAGGGGTGCAGAACATTTTCCTTGGCTCCTGGTCAGTATCGATATCTCGCCTTCGACGAGAATTCTCAAGGCGGATGGGCTATGGCCCCCGGTAATTCTATTCCCATTGATTCCGATGGCGCGTATGCTTCGACCTGGGGTGAATTTGATTTTGGCTCAAGCATCAACCTTGGATGGTCCAGGTTTGGCGTGTCCGCCATAGCTGCCCAGAATGCCGGCCTCAAGGTTCAAGGCATGAAAATTTGTGATGTTATCACCCATATCTGCTCGTTCATAACTAGAAATGCCGGGTTTGTTTACAACGCCTACACGAATACTCTTATCAATGATAGAGACATCGGTGGAAAGCTTGCCCCTGGACCAGCCAGGCTCTCAGTTACAGTTGATTACGATACACAGAATTAGCAACCTCATTATTTGGAGGCCTAATACGACAATGGTATCAAATACTATATGCATAATTATGTTTTATTTTCCGATTGAATTACTCATGACTGGTGCCTACAACACCGTCATTGGCACTGGTTTGGTGGTACTGCACCAATTTCTTCTGGGGAGGTGAGACAGCTAGGTTTACCCAAGTTACACACGGTAAGCTAGGTCTAACAAAGTACAGCGAGGCCGTAAATGTCTACTCAACAAAAGCAAGAAGGGTTGGGTATGACTCCAATGAAGAGAGTGGCCATCTTGAGAGGATAGGGATATTGATGGTATCAACCTACTGTAATGATTTCTCGTTTGTTGGTGGCTTTAACAAGGAAACCTAAATGCCAACAGGCGACTGAAACGGGTACCAGATGAAACCCATACCACTATACATTTATACGTTAAGGACAAAAGTGTGGACATACAGATGGATTCGATTGATGTCGATAAGGGCTTGTAGGTCCCAGTGCCCGGGCGGTAGAATACCGGGGCTCAGTGAAGCATACTTCATACAACTAATAGGTCTTCTCACATGCATGAATTTACTGTCGCTTATGCGATTACAGTCGGACAACCATGATTCGGTTGGGAGTCACAGCACAGTGTTAGTGTATATTCAGTAGTGGCTAGTCTCAAAATTGACTGGGCACGCGTTGACATCCATGAATTCCCCTCTTCAATCACCGGATCCACTTCTGCATATCTAGGCCCTCAACTGTCAAAGTCTGAGATCTAGCCTGTATTTATCAATTTAAATCAAAGTGATGATATCATCTTGTTGTTCCTTGCCTTTCAAAGAGTACAGGAGTCCCAAAACAACCAGAAGGAGACCCAACACAAAGAATAGTATAATGCTTTGCTCCTCACATGACAGCTGGGACTGAATACTTGGATATGGCATTGCAGGGGAGATCGAGGGTCGCACAGCCTGTAGCGGACTTCTGTATAGATCGGACCAATCCATGACATTCATTTTACACTTGCCATTCCAGGATTCTGAACCTGGATTGTGTGTTCCATACTGCTCCCTGGCCCACTGCTTGTAGTCCGCTTGATGTAGCTCTCCGTAACCTGGATTCTCTCTGCCATGATGAGGAGGCATTGATAGCTGCGTCTTTGATTAGATTGGATGATCGAAAATCGTTTTACAGTCATTCTCGAAATCGGCTTCACCAGTACACTCTTCGACTCTCTTTCTCAGCCCCACCGCCAAGGTCTTAGCGTACATAATTTAATGAGCCCACCGCATTAAGTTGCGGTCCGGTGATCTCCCCGAGCTTGCCCGGTGACAATTAAACCCTGGGGCCGCCTCAGTTTGATGCGTCCAGCCCAATAGATGTTCTGCGCTAAAGGCTTGGCAGCGGGGCCGAGGAAGAGAGTCGAAGAGTGGACTGGTGAAGCCGATTTCGAGAACGACTGTACCTGGACGACGTATCGAACTGTCCAGAGTCGGACTGTAGCAGTGGATCGAAGACGTGGTGGTTGATACTATCTCGATATAAAACTGTTGTGGTTGTGTACCGAGCGGGAGCTAACCCCGGACCGATGGCGGACCCACCCGCGGGAGGGCCCGAACCCCCTCCCACAAACACCCAAGAAAGCATCACCAGTTTCTCAGTCGAGGATTTCCAGCCCCGAATTTCGATTGAGACAGCCCAGATCATAGGAAAAAGGACGAGAAATGGCGAAGTTTACACGCCCACCGAAGGAACGGGCCGGATCACCACCAGAGAGGTGTGGAAGCTTATCGACAGCCTCAAGGACATTATCCACCGCCAGACGACCCTCATCGAGTCCACTAAAGCCGACCTAGAGGAGGTCAAGCACGACCAGAACGTCCTCCGAGAACAGAATGATAAGCTGCATGAAGAAGTCAGAGCCCTACGAACACAAATCGAAGCCAACCCACAGCCAAACCCGCCCAGAACATGGGCAGCGATAGCCGCCAGCGGCACCGGCGAACCGCAGCCGAGCCTCCGACGACCTGAGAAAGACCGGAACTGCATCCGCATCAGCACACAGAGATCATTCGTCGACCCGAGAGATAGTGAGAACAGCGAAGGAGATACCTTTGGGCGATATCTCTCCACCGACTCCGCTAACACCCATATCCGCTCTGCGCTGTTGAGCGCCCCTTCGACCCAGGATGCACAAGTGGCCGGTATTGGCACCACGAAAACGGGATACTTGATTCGCTTCAAAGACCCAGAGTCGGCTGACGCAGCCCGCAATAACACTGAATGGCTGAATGAGCTAGGAAACAACACAAAGCTAGTCAAGCCAAGATTCGGTGTAGTCGTACACCGTACTCCGACCGAGGACTTCGACTTGGAGAACGCGAACGATCAAGCGATCCAAAAAATCATGGAAGACAACGATCTAGCGGAACTGAACTTCCAGATTGAAGAGCTAGCGTGGCTCAAGCGGAAGGACAAGGTGCTAGGGAAGTTCGCATCGCTTGGCATCTGGTTCGACTCCGCAGAAGGAGCCGATTACATCCTTGACCGCGGCCTCCTTGTTGGACAAAGACAAATCGGCAGCGTGGAACGCCGTGAAATCAAGAAGAAGAGATGCTTCCGATGCCAACGGTTCGGACACCTAGCCTGGTCGTGCAGGGAAACACCACGGTGTGGACACTGCGCGGGTCAACACGAACGGCAACGATGCCCCCCAGGAGTGAGAGCCCGTTGCCTCGACTGCAGCGGCGAACACCCAACTGGTGATCGTCAGTGCCTGAGCCCCGCGACTTCCAACCCTTCCCAATGTTAGAAACGAACCTTCGCGTGCTACAGTTGAATGTTATGAAATCGGGGCCGGGAATGGAAGCTCTCATCAACGACCACCAAAGCCAGAACCTGGATGTCCTTTTGATCCAGGAACCATCTATCACTAGCTATCGAACACACGTCAACCACAGCGCTTGGCGACTATATCGGCCAACCGTTGAGTCCGACGAAGTTCGACCCCGCAGCCTAACCTATGTAAACCGAAAACTCTCAACTTCTTCACACCGGCAGATTCGGTGCAACCACCCAGACATCACCGCCATCAAGATCTGGACTGCCGACTCCCAGATTCTCCTTTTTTCTGTTTATATCGCTTGTGTCCCGCTACACAATCCGGGTGAAGCGTCGGCAGAACCTGCACTCATGGCGATCCAAGATACAATTTCAGCCGCTCGACAGGACGACCAGAGATCGACAAGCGTCATCCTGGCGGGAGATTTCAACCGTCATCACCCAATGTGGGGCGGCAACCACATTCAACCAAGGTTTATTGAAGATGCAAGTGAACTTATCACCTTTTTCCAAGACCACAATCTACACACATGCCTACCCCGGGGTACAGCAACCTTCTGGCCCCTTAACGACCCAGGGAAAAGCACCACCATTGATCAGACGGTGTCAGACCGCCCGGACCTGCTCGTTAAATGTCACCTCTACCACGAAAACTATGGATCGGACCATCGAGCAACATACTCGGAGTGGAGCCTCAAGCCCCACCACAAACCCACAACAAAAACGAGGAAAGCATACGAACGAGCAAATTGGGACAAGATTGGGGCTGAAATTCTCCTGCGGATGGGCCCATGGGATGAGATCAAAACAAGACCAGCTCTAGACGAGGCAGTAGAAAGGCTCACGGAAATAACGACGTCGGCCGTGGAAAACCACACTCCAAATCGACGACCAAGCCCCTACTCCAAACGCTGGTTCACCCCAAACCTGAAAGCCCAACAAACTGAAGTCAACTCCATCCGTCGGAAATGGCAAGAGAGCTGCGCGGAGCACGGACGCCATCACACACGGTCGGAGGACCTCTTTGAAGAGATGCAAGAAAAGCGCCGAACCTGGACACGCACCATTGAAAAGGCCAAAAGGTCCTACTGGAAACAGTTCCTAGACGGAGCTGGGGAGGGAAAACTGTGGAAGGCTGCCACCTACATGAAACCGCGAGAGAGCTGGGGACACGTCCCTTCCTTGCAGGTCGATTCCAACGAGCTGGCCGAGAATGAGGACAAGGCCCAAGCGTTTCTTGACACCTTCTTCCCCAAGATGAACGATCCCGTCGAAGACCCACCAGTCCAAGCGCCTCCGGAGCTACCGTGGCCACCGATCACCGAACTAGAAATCCAGCGAGCCCTCAAAGCGACGAAAGGCTCCACAGCACCAGGCGAGGACGGCCTACCAGCCCTCGTATGGAAGCACCTGTGGCAGTCTCTGAAGCAGCTCATCACCAGGATTTTCACGGCATCAGTCAAGCTAGGACACCATCCTAGGCGATGGCGGGGAGCAAAGATTGTGGTGTTGCGGAAACCAGGGAAGCCGGACTACTCGATCCCTGGGGCCTATCGCCCGATCTCACTCCTCAACACACTCGGGAAACTTCTTGAGACAGTCATAGCTCGACGACTGTCGTACCTCGCTGAGAAGCACGGCCTGCTACCCGATACACAATTCGGTGGGCGACCGGGCAGGACCACCGAACAAGCCCTGCTGGTCCTTGCTAACGCTATTGACCAAGCTTGGTATAAATGCAAAGTAGTGACGCTTATCGCGTTCGATCTGAAAGGAGCCTTCAACGGAGTCAACAAAATCAGCCTCGACGCCCGGCTCCGCGCGAAGGGAATCCCAGCCGTCGCTAGGAAGTGGATTGCGAGTTTTATGAGCGACCGGTTCGCCAGCATCGGCTTCGACGACTTCCGGACCGAGGTCGCGCCGCTGATCAATGCTGGCCTCGCGCAAGGCTCTCCCCTGTCACCGATTTTGTTTATATTCTTCAACTCCGATCTGGCCGACCAGCCGGTCACCTCTCAAGGGGGCGCATCAGCCTTCATCGATGACTACTTCCGCTGGCGAGTGGGCCGCTCGGCCGAAGAGAATTTGGCCAAGATCCAGTCCGAGGATATCCCCCGCATCGAGGCATGGGCCCGACGGACCGGGTCCTCCTTTGCAGCCGAAAAGACCGAGCTCATCCATCTCACCAGGAGAAGAAGCGAGCACTTACAGGGGCAAGTGGTCATGAACGGGAACACAATTGAACCATCAGCCAAAGCCAAGTTACTGGGGGTGATCTTCGACCACGAGCTGCGATGGAAGGAGCACATCCAGCAAGCTATCAAGCGGGCCACAAAGACGGCTATCGCTCTGGCTGGGCTACGACACCTACGCCCGGAACAGATGCGTCAGATCTATCAGGCGTGCGTCGCACCAGTGGTAGACTACGCATCAACCGTCTGGCACGATCCTCTACGCGATAAAACCCACCTACGTCACCTAACCACTGTACAGAGAGTTCCTCTGATCCGTATCCTATCGGCCTTCAGGACGGTGGCAACTTCCACACTAGAGGTAGAAGCACATGTCCTTCCGACACACCTCCGCCTTCGCCACCGAGCCCAGCGGACCATCGCAAAGCTCCACACCCTACCACGCAGTCACCCTATCTGGAACGCATTATCACGAGCTCTGAGACGGAGGAACAATATCGGAACATCATCCCGTTTCCCTCTGGCGGAAGCATTGAAGACGATGAACCTAGAAAGACTGGACGAACTAGAAGCGATCGACCCAAGCCCGCTGCCACCGTGGCGAGCCGAACCCTTCACAGACATCGAAATTGGATCAGACCGAGAAACAGCCGTAGAGCGAGCCGAAGCTGCACGGTCCGAATCGGACATTGTTGTCTATTCAGATGCCTCTGGACGCGAGAGCCACCTGGGTGCGGCTGTCGTCGCACTAGACAACGACCTGCAGGTCGTCGAATCCAAACAAATCCAAGTGGGACCAATGGATCGGTGGTCGGTGCACGTTGCGGAGCTCATTGGCATCTTCTACGCGATTAGCATGGTTTTCATGCTCGCCCATCAGAGTTTAGCCAACAGACAAAAAACAGCGACGATCCTATGCGACAGTCGATCAGCGTTGCAGGCAACTCAGAACCCAAGAAGCAGATCCGGACAGCGGATCATTCACGCGATCCTCCAAGCTGCCACCGAGGCCCAGGCAGCAGGCATCACGCTCCGTCTTCAATGGGTGCCAGGACATTGTGATAACCCAGGAAACGATGCCGCAGACCGACTGGCCAAGGTCGCCGCGTGCCCAGGCAAAACCCACCCCTTTCGTCCGCTACTCTCGAGGGAAAGTGCGCGCATCCGGAGTAAAATCCTTGATCACTGGGAACAGGAATGGAGGTCGTCTAACAAAGGCGGCCATCTACGGAAGATTGACAACACCCTGCCAGCAAACTACACGCGAAGGCTGTACGGGAATCTACCGAGGAACCGAGCGTACCTGTTGACCCAGCTACGCACGGGCCACAATTGGTTATCCACCTACGCTAAGACCTTTAGATTCCGCGACAACGATAAGTGTGTGTGCGGCGCGCAAGAAACAGTCACCCACGTGCTGGTGGACTGTCCGGACTTAAGGGTTATTCGAAGTAAGCTACGGAGGGAAGTGGGAGACGCATTTGTCAGTATCTCGAGTCTGCTGGGAGGCTCAACCGACGGTAAGAAAGGTAAACCAGACACCGTCACACGGTCTAGGACAGTTCAGGCTGTACTGGACTTCGCTGAGGCGTCACAACGGTTTTGGAGTCGTGCGCCACGAGGGCAGCCTAACAATGGGAACGGCAACTAGGCCACCGCAGGCCTTGACGAGGCTCCAAGGTCGTTTTCAGGAAGTGGAACATTCTACATGTATGTACCCGTGGATATATATAGTTGCTGTAGCCTGCATATCGCTTTTCATTGCGAGGGGTCAGGGTAAATGAAATCAACCAACCAACCAACCGACTGTACCTGGACGGAAAAACGATCGGAATCACTGCGAGAACGTGGTGGTTGATATTATCCTCGATATAACACTCTTGTGGTTGTGCGCCGAGCGGGAGCTAACCCCGGATCGATGGCGGACCCACCCCCGGGAGGGCCCGAACCCCCTCCCACAAATACTCAACGAGGGGCAGCGCTTTTCACGCTCGAAAACTTCGAACCGTCGATTGTGCCTCGCAAGAGAAGGAGCCCTCGGCATGGAAATGAAATCACCACAGTGGCACGCTCGAACCCCGAGTTTACCAGCACCGAAGACAATAATGGGCGGGTGACGACCAAGGAGGTCCGGCAGCTCATAGACAGCCTGAAGTTAATCATCAATCGCCAAACCGTGCTCATCGAATCCACCAAGGCCGAGATCGAAGAGGTTAAGCATGACCAGAATGTCCTTCGTGAACAGAACGAGAAGCTCCACGAGGAAGTCAGAGCACTGAGAGCTCAAATCGAAACCACCGCACAAGCGGCCCCGCCCAGATCGTGGGCTACGGTAGCGGCTAATACCAGCAATACCTCCCCGCAGCCAAACTACGATCACACCAACAAAGACCAAAACTGCGTCCGTATTAGCACCCAGCGAACCTTTGTGGACCCGACAGATAACGACAATAGCAATGGAAACACCTTTGGCCGCTATCTCCCCACAGACGCCGCCAATACCCATATCCGTACAGCGCTGCTCAACGCCCCATCGACCCAAGACGCCCAGGTAGCTGGAATCGGCACCACTAAGACGGGTTATGTGATTCGGTTCAAGGACCCAGTGTCGGCCGAAGCGGCCCGCAACAACACCGAATGGTTGAACGAGCTAGGAAACAGCACGAAGCTGGTGAAACCGCGATTCGGCGTTGTCGTGCACCGCACCCCAACAGAGGACTTTGACCTGGAGAATGCGAACACTCAGGCTATTGAGAAGATTATGGAAGATAACGACCTGGTGGAACGAGGCTTCCACATAGAAGAAGTGGCATGGCTCAAAAGGAAGGATAAGGTTCTAGGAAAGTTTGCCTCGCTTGGTATCTGGTTCGACTCTGCAGATGGAGCCGAATACATCCTCAACAACGGCCTGGTAGTAGGCCAGAGATATATCGGCAGTGTGGAACGCCGCGAAATTAAGAAAAAGAGATGCTTCCGATGTCAACGATTCGGGCACCTAGCGTGGTCATGCAAGGAAACAGCTCGATGCGGACACTGCGCAGGCCCGCACGAGCGACAACGATGCCCACCGGGCGTCCGCGCCCGATGCCTCGATTGCACAGGCGAACACCTAACCGGCGATCGACAGTGCCCTAACCCCGCGACGTCCAACTCTCCCCAATGTTAGAAACGAACCTTCGCGTGCTACAGTTGAATATTATGAAATCGGGACCAGGAATGGAAGCCCTTATTAACGACCATCAAAGCCAGAACCTGGATGTTCTCCTAATCCAGGAACCGTCCATCACCAGATATCAGACCCACGTCAACCACAGTGCCTGGCGGCTATACCGACCGACCGTCGACACGGACGCGGTTCGGTTTCGCAGCCTCGTGTATGTTAACCGTAACCTCTCTCCTTCCTCCCACCGGCAGATTCGGTGCGAACACCCAGACATTACCGCCATCAAGATCTGGACTGCCGACTCCCAAACTCTCCTTTTCTCCGTCTACCTCCCTTCTGTCCCGCTGTATGCCCCCAATGAAGGGTCGGCAGAACCAATACTCTCAGCAATTCAAAACACAATTTCAACCGCCCGGCAGGACGGCCGGCGGTCCACAACCGTTATCCTGTCAGGAGATTTCAACCGTCATCACCTAATGTGGGGCGGCAACCACATCCAACCAAGATTTATTGAAGACGCATGCGAACTCATCACCTTCTTCCAAGAGCATAACCTACAAACCTGCCTGCCTCGAGGCACAGCGACCTTCTGGCCCCTTAACGACCCAGGAAAAAGCACTACCATTGACCAGACGGTAACGGACCGACCGGACCTGCTTATCAAATGCCATCTTTATCACGAAAACTACGGGTCGGACCACCGAGCAACATACTCGGAGTGGGGCCTTAAACCCCATCACAAGCCCAGCGCTAAGACAAGGAAAGCGTACGAACGAGCAGACTGGGACAAGATCGGGGCCGAAGTGCTCCAGCGGATGGGCCCATGGAAAGAGATTAGAACAAGACCGGCGCTTAACGAGACAGTCGAACGGCTCACGGAAATCACGGCATCCGCCGTGGAGACCCACACTCCAGACCGACGCCCATCTTCTTATTCTAAACGCTGGTTCACGCCAGACCTCAAAATCCAACAGACCGAGGTCAACCGCTCGCGTCGGAAATGGCAAGAGAGCTGCGCGGGACATGGGCGAGACCATACACACTCGGTGACCCTCTTCCAAGAGATGCAGCAAAAGCGTCGGACCTGGACCCGTACTATTGAAAAAGCCAAAAGGTCACACTGGAAACAGTTCCTGGACGGAGCTGGGGAAGGAAAGCTATGGAAAGCTGCTACCTACATGAAACCGCGAGAGGCCTGGGGCAGTGTCCCGGCCTTGCATGTCGATTCGAACATCCTAGTAGAGAACGAGGACAAGGCGCGGGCATTCTTAGACACTTTCTTCCCTAGGATGGACCAACCGCATGAAGACCTACTAGTCGAGACCCCACTGGAGCTACCGTGGCCACCTTTCACGGAACTGGAAATCCATCGATCTCTTAAAGCAGCCAAAAGCTCTACGGCACCAGGCGAGGACGGTCTACCAACGCCTGTGTGGAAACACCTATGGAAGCATCTGGGAAAGCTCATCACCAGAATTTTCACAGCATCAATCGGCTTAGGACATCACCCGAAACGATGGCGGGGAGCAAAGATCGTAGTATTGCGGAAACCAGGGAAGCCGGACTACTCAATCCCTGGAGCGTATCGCCCGATCTCGCTCCTCAACACACTCGGAAAACTTCTTGAGGCAGTCATAGCCCGACGATTGTCGTACCTCGCCGAGAAACACGGCTTACTACCCGATACGCAATTCTGAGGGCGACCGGGCAGGACCACGGAACAAGCCCTGCTAGTCCTTTCCAACGCGATTGACCAGGCTTGGTATAAACTTGGAGTTGTGACACTTGTTGCTTTCGATCAGAAAGGCGCCTTCAACGGAGTCAACAAAACCAGTCTCAACGCCCGCCTCCGAGCAAAAGGGATTCCAGCAGTCGCCAGAAAGTGGATTGCGAGCTTTATGAGCGACCGCTTCGCTAGCATAGGATTTGATGACTTCCGTACTGAGGTCGCGCTGCTTGTTAATGCGGGACTAGCGCAAGGCTCGCCCCTCTCACCTATTCTGTTCACATTCTTTAACTCCGATCTCGTCGACCAACCGGTCACCTTCCGTGGTGGCGCATCAGCCTTCATTGATGACTACTTCCGCTGGCGAGTAGGTCGGTCGGCCGAGGAGAACTTAGCCAAAATTCAGTCCGAGGACATTCCTCGCATCGAAGCGTGGGCGCGTCGGACTGGGTCCTGCTTTGCGGCCGAAAAGACCGAGCTTATCCACCTTACTAGGAGAAAAAGCGAGCAACTGCAAGGGCAAGTAGTCATAAACGGGAAGACAGTCAAACCATCCCCCACAGCCAAGTTACTGGGTGTGATCTTCGACCATGAGTTGCGGTGGAAAGAGCACGTCCAGCAAGCTATTAAACGTGCCACCAAGGTGGCTATCGCTCTGGCAGGACTACGACATCTGCGCCCAGAACAGATGCGACAAATCTACCAAGCATGCGTCACACCAGTAGTAGACTATTCGTCAACGGTCTGGCATGACCCTCTGCGTGATAAAGTCCACCTACGCCACCTAAACACAGTTCAGAGAGGCCCTCTGATCCGTATCCTGTCAGCGTTTAAGACAGTAGCGACCACCACTCTAGAAGTAGAAGCGCACGTCCTCCCGACACACCTCCGCCTCCGCCGCCGGGCACAACACACTATCGCGAGACTCCACACTCTACCTCGCAAGCATCCCATTTGGAGCGCGCTCCTCCGAGCCCAGAGACGGAGGAACAATATCGGAAACTACGCCCGGTTCCCACTAGCGGAAGCCCTAAAGACCATGGACTTACAGACATTGGATGAACTAGAAACGATTGACCCAAGCCCGCTGGCACCGTGGCAAGCCGAACCCTTTGCGGAGATTGAGGTTGCATCGGATCGAGAGACGGCCGTTGAACGAGCCGAAACCGCGCGATCTATGTCGGACATTGTGGTCTACTCAGATGCCTCTGCACGCGAGGGTCATCTCGGAGCGGCCGTAGTGGCACTCGACGACAACCTGCAGGTTGTCGAATCACAACAGGTCCAGGTGGGACCAATGGACCGATGGTCGGTTCACGTAGCGGAACTCATCGGCATCTTCTACGCTATCAGCACGGTGTTCAAGATCGCCCATCAACGGACAAGCGAAAACAGTAGAGAAAAAACAGCAACGATCCTGTGCGACAGTAGATCAGCCCTGCAGGCAACTCAGAACCCAGGGAACAAATCGGGCCAGCGGATCGTGCACGCGATCCTGCAAGCTGCCACAGAGGTCCAAGCTGAGAGAATAGCGCTCCGTCTCCAATGGGTGCCAGGGCACTGCAATAACCCTGGTAACGACGCTGCGGATCGACTAGCCAGAGACGCCGCGTACCCAGGCAAATCCCACTCATTCCGCCCGCTACTCTCGAGGGAGAATGCACACCTGCACGTCAATATCCTCAGTCAGTGGGAGCAGGAGTGGAGATCGTCCAGCAAAGGCAATCACCTACGGAAGATCGACGGTACCCTACCAGCAACCTACACGAGGAAGCTATATGGGAGCCTGCCCAGGAACCGGGCGTACCTGTTAACGCAGCTACGTACAGGCCACAACTGGTTATCTACCTACGCCAAGAGTTTTGGCTTCCGTGACGACGACCACTGCGTGTGCGGTGCACAAGAAACTGTTACTCATGTACTAGTGGACTGTCCATCTTTAAGGGGTATTCGAATGGAGTTACGGAGGGAAGTGGGGGACGCGTTCAGGAGTGTCTCGAGCCTGCTGGGAGGCTCAAACGAAGGTAAGAAAGGTAAACCAGACACCGTCTCAAGGGCGAAGACGGTCAAGGCTGTTTTGGACTTCGCCGAGGCGTCACAGCGGTTTTGGAGTCGCGCGCCACGAGGGCAGCCTAACAATGGGAACGGCAATTAGGCCACGGCAGGCCGTGACGAGGCTCTAAGTTCGTTTCTTCAGGAAGTGGAACACTTTACATGTAGTTACGCGGATATATATATAGTGGTAGTATGCTGCATATCGCTTTCGAGCGAGGGGTCGGCGTAAATGACATCAACCAACCAACCAACCGACTGTACCTGGACAGTATGCCTTACTAACCTGCTATAGAATGAAGGGCGTGGGGACTTCTTAAATCGTTTTGGACCAAAATTAACGCAGGTAGAATGGAGTGTGACAATAGAGCTCTTTGCACAATTGCTCTAACATCTACCCGAAGAAGAACCCTGGATGTTAAATGGCACAAAAGTAGGCGATTGTACATAATAGTCTGGTGAATAAGAGTTGTTAATCGTGATGTACATTAAAGTAACAACGGAATACTGTTCATTTAGTGATTTTATATCTACGTACACTAGTTTTGGGTAGACCAAGATAAATCGAGTTCATGGGTCATTGTGATGGGTGATTGAAGATTTATTTGCATCAAGAAAAATCCTAGATCATTTGCGTAAAATGATCTAACTGAGATAGGCCTCCGATTCAACCATATATGGCCAAATCCAACCGCCATGGCAGGACTACTTTTAGTCGAGCACCTCTATTCAATTTACTAGTTTTGGGTGGCTGGGTCGCTGGGGTGACGTCGGAAGTTCATTCTATGTGAATTCGGCGGACTTCAATTCAGGACATTCAATTATTCCAGTAGTTAATTCTGAGAGAAGAACCTGTTTGAATCATTTCGAATAGTTAATCTACGTCCATTCTGTTATGTCCCATGAAATCAATTTTACCAGCCGACTCCGGAGGCAATTTTGATGAATTCCGGTTGTCAGTTTAGATCAATTGATGTCTGTTATCATCTTCAATAACCTTCATTGATTCTTCGGTGATGGGTCCATATTAAAGAATCAGTCAGTCCTAGGCTTTTATAATAGTATAGTGATAGCGTAGTAATCAATGCATTGCATCCAATAGATCTACGGCCTCCATTCTGTAGTCAAACCTTACACTGTGGTTCCACTTATTGGTACGAAGAGAATCTAAGAAACATTTTTTATAAAGAAAATTTCACAAAATTAACCTTTCTCTGAAGGAGTATACTAAGTTTTATGTTTTCGAAGTAATAGCATATTGTTTGTCAAAAATGATGCAAGTAAAGACAATGTCTGGACCATAAGGAAGGAAATGGAGGACAGCCAGCATAGATTAATCCAGGTCGCCAGGTCACCTCCCCACCCATTTGCGGAACCCCGCCTAGACTATTCTGTAGATATTTGCAGTGTTTTTTAGTCACTAATATACTCACAACCTAAGCGGTTAAGAAATATATGTGTAGCTCACAACCTAGGTGAGGATAAGCAGCCCTGTGACCGTGTGGACGGCCACGGCACAATCAATCTAATTGAAGATATTAAGATCCTCAGGAATAAGTAGGAATTGTCCCGTCGAGTATTATAAACATGAATAGATTCTATAGCGCCAGAATTTACGACACGGTACTGTAAAGGCTTTGAACACACTGGGCGTGACACAGTGCAGTCACCTATCACCTCTAGTGTGCTGGAGCAACAAAACCTAGGATCCCCCTTATCCCCGATCTAAGATCTTCCGAATACCCATGATATATAATACTAGTCACGACTTTGGTCAACTAACTATCAACCAAGAAAAACTATTAGATAAAGTCTGCTGGGCCGCTTCTTCGTCAACCTATTTGAATGTCAAACTGCGCCTGCAATTAATCATATCACATAATTATTCAATTTAAACATATTCACGCCAACTGGTGCAAATCGAATGCTTCGCCCCGGATATGTTGCTTATATCTGAATTAAAGTATCTACTTAGGAAAATGTCGTTTGGGCCGAGCTTGACTGTTGGTGATCTCAGATTTACAAAAGATTTTAAGTGGAGAAATTTGATATTGAGATTTGAGTAATGAACAGCCAGTGGAGAGAACAGTATCAGCTGTACATGTCATCCATTTTACTGCATTTACCACGCCAAACATCACGTGGTTTCCACACTCTACAGGTATAAGAAGTACAAAATAGTGCAGGACATGCCAGAACTTGTTTTATGACCACTAATTCGTTGCCTCAAATACCAACTCTCAACTTCCTGACCATTGAACATGTCACGTACAACCAAACACATACCCATTTCCTATTCAGATGAATATGGAGCGTGGCTGCTCAAGCACTTCTCAGAGACTGGTCGACCATCGATGGCTTCTTCTCTTGAACAAGAGAATATCTATGAAACCACACAAAAAGTGCATCGTCGTGTTAGAAGGTCTGATATATACATCCGAACTAATCATGATGGTGGTAGTGAGAATTTGGATGAAAGAAGGTAACAGAATAAAGGCCTGCCAAAGCCTAGCGTGAATCATGCTGACGTGTTATAAAGTTTGACTGAGTTCGGCATCACTGGTCCGGTGCTAGATAGTATTTCTGGTGTCGAGAAAGGAGAAGCTTTATCTAATGAGAGGGAAGCAGAGATCTTGGTTTTGAAGAGGATAGTAGAGGTTGTACAAGCTAGGATTGATCAATTGCATGTCCATGTAGCCGCATCGACTGTTCGATGTCGCCTAACGAACAATAAGCGAAGGCTATTGGACAATAATTAGGTAAACGCAATGAAGACTAGATGAAAATACGCATAAGGATTCTTACATTAGCTTGGCAATACTGTAAACACTAAGGAACCGTTTTCTGGCCACAAAGCCTTATCAGAGATCCATCTGTGAGCCGACGGGCTTTGTCATTATGCAATTGTAAACGCCTCTTGTGAGTATGACTGCATTATACTATATAACGGCACCAAGAGGTAGTTCGGCCACGTCTACCGTCTTCTATCATTGAATCCTTTGAATCCCAAGAGTAGTTGAGACGAACTCGAGCCCATTCTCGTCTTGTGAAAACGTTTCGATGTGATCAGCGGGGTAGTTTGGCGTTGTCTGAGGTGTGAAGGGTCTCCTACGTACTCAGATGCCGATCTCTTCTTGAGGTAAACGATTGAAATAATAGGAACATCTGTATATCACTAAACTCCGGAGTTATCGGAGCCGATACCCCCGGTCGATGACACCGTAAAGTGGGACAACTTCCTTGACAAGGCATCTAATTGACTCAGTTGGCTTTGTCAGGGCTACCGGGAAGGGACTCGCCTCGTGAGCAGGTATACGTGATATGCCCAGCGGTTTGAGAGTAGGGATATGAAGCATAGGGTCGAAGCTTATCAGAATTATCGCTAGATGGCCAGGGGGTAGACCTGGCGAAGTGACGGAGTAAACAAGGGTGCGGTCGTCCAAGATGGCCTGCATGTTGCCAGAGCATGAGGAAGGGCAGAGGAGACGGCGGAGTTCAACAGGGGCGTCTTCTGGAGGCCACATGTGCATGCCACGGGAGGCGAAGCGCTCATCTGACCCTTCGAGGCGGCGGCCATTCGCGTCCGATTGTGTTGGTTGAAAGAGGAGGCCAGGTTCTCCGGCGATACCATCGTCATCAAATGGGCATTTACGCCTCCGCGATATTGTTCTAAGACGGAGGAAATCACAAATGTGAACTCCATCTGCTTGACTCACAGGATCGTTCACAAGATCGAGAAAGGTTGAGGAGCTGAGGTGGTAGCAGTGGTATTTGGTGTACGCAGCAATAAATTCTTGTCGCTGGGTTTGATCATGATTTTCATACTCTGGGTGGTAGTTGCGTCGCAGGCGCTTTTTCGGCTTGCCACTATCTAGGTGAGCCGTATCCGGACCGCTGGCAGCTCCGTTGAAGTTGTCACTCCATGGAGGGGACTTAATTCCTCCTTCTGGGTATTTCAGCCGTAATTCTGTGGGTGTATATAGGTTTTCGAAATAATTTGTTCGATGGTTTTCGCTGTTCCCGTCTGCCCATTCACGGCGACATTCAGTGATCACTGGCCTCCCGGCAGTCTCATCAAACTGAATAGAAAGCTGCGTCCACATCTCATTTATGGGGCCTTCACGGTGATCACGACGCCATATGCGACCACTCCAGATCTGGCCCTTCTGTCGGGGTGAATAACAGAACCAATAGTAGAAAGAACAATGTTCATCGTCATCAGAAGTTGTCAGAGTTGAGACGGTGTACAGGTGGTCCTCATACATTTCAAAACAAATCGATTGGCCAATTTCCCAGCCCTCAACAGAATCGAAATAGAATTCAATGAACCTATTGGTGGCCATATCTACGCCGTAACATAGCCAGCGCCCTTGCAAACCATGTGTAGCCGTGAATGTGCCATACCATAGATTCGAACGAGTGTGCCGCACAAAGATAGGGGTGGACGAGGGAATGGACCGTCGCAGGAGTAGTCGCTTGCGTCTAGTCTGTCGGAAGGTTGTGTCAATAGCAATCAACCAACTACCCTGGCCTCCAGAACCCTCTAGACGAAACACGAGGATCTCATCTTTGAAATAGAGGAGTGTGACCTGGTTGATAGGATCAACGCCTGTCGCTACTAGGCCACTGTCTAACCGAGGAATAATATGGTATAAATTCAAGAGTCGTTCTCGGAGGTCACCATGATGCACATTGAGCAAGCGAATTTCGTGCTGAACTTGGTAACATAGAATTCCTTGCTGATAGAGGAAATCAGTCGCAAATGCCAGCACCGCCACTGCATATGGAGCAGCCGTAGCTACGGCTTCGTTGATGTTGAAACGATGCATGATAGCCTTACGGTAACCAGATCGGGCAACCAAGGCGGCGAGGCCCTCTCTGCTATGAGCAAAGACCTTCTACAATAGTGGACTGTCAGCATATTGTACTCAACCGCCACTATGAAAGTACATTCTCTACCCAGGTTAGGGTTCGCCAAGCGGCAGCGGCTCTTACCTCGACAATTCTTCGCGCAATTAGGTCATCATTCAATAGAGCATAAATGGTGCGGCTGGTGTGGCTTAAATGGACGTAGTCACTGTCATCCAAAAAAGTGGCAATTATGTAGAAAACATCAAACGGAATGGTGGCGAGTGTTGGAAAAGCAGACATGGCTGGCAGTCGAGGTGGGTGCTCTTTCACCGAGTGGCGAGATGTGGGGATACTGAAGAACAGGATTTGATCAATATGGGAATAGGGGATTTATGTATCGTGTGACATAGGGGAAGACAATTGGTCTTGAATATGGACCAAACAAGTGTAGCCATCCAATTATGTCAAAGCCCAGTGCGGCAGCCGAGAAATTTCAGGGGCGGAAGTAATGCATTGAGGCTTATCGTTGAATAGTTAGTCCCCAGTTCCCTTGTAGGGTGATCGGTACATATGCTATTTTAGTGCATTACATGGCTCATTGGCGGAAAAGATTGACCCCTCCTTCTCAAGACTTGCTGGGGTGAGTCTAGACTTGGCCCGACAAGCGGTCCGATGACAAATTATTACAGAGCACAAAGTGGGAACTAATTTCCATTCAAGGTATATCACCACTGCCATATGATAAGTTTCAGTAAATGGTGGGCAGTGAAGGATAACTCCATTACGAGTAAAACACCTTTTGATTAACAACGGTTTAATCAATATCTCAGGTCCCTAAGGACTTGTCTGGCGACATGTGAGTTATATGGCTCAGGCCTTAGCAGATCACATTTCCTGTGTATGGATTTCGTAGAGGAGATAAGGAGGATTATATGATGTATATTTGCAAATTATGTCAACGTTCCTGGCGAGGCTCTCTGGGTTTTGGGTTATCTTGTAGGCTTTGGGAAAGCAACTTTGAAATCCCGGTCTTGCTTGTACAACTTATGCCCTTCCCGTCGACTTTCCTTGCAGAGTCACTCGAAATACTGCTTGGCCCACCATTTGCGCTGCTCCTGGCTGGTTTGTAGGTGTTGTGATCATGGAGGCCTTTCACGGGAAGCAGGTTTCCAATAAATTTGGCAGTTTAATTTCGCAAAGCCGATGCCCCATATGAACCCAACTCCGACAAGATTATATCCCCTGACTGAACCAGAGATGGGTTTTGTGGTGAGGGATGAGGAAGTGTATTGCGGAAGGTTTGCAGGTCGAACCGGGTGTAGGGGGTTGTTCTCGACGGCAGGGTTAAGGGGAATATTCTGAGAGAGGCGAGACTATATCAGCCCAATGTAAGATTCGCATCAGAAGCATGCTGATACTGAAATGTCACCGGGGATTTGGTACCGATTGTCCTAAGTAAAGGACTAATTTATTATTCCCTCTTCGTCTGGAAGGCTGGATCATTCCTCGGTGAAGCGTGGTCTCGGGTAGGCCGTGGTTGAACTTGTGGTCTGGAGCTGAGACTAGCGCTGTTGTGCAGGGCGTTAGATATAAAGAGAAATGTTGAACTTGATGGCTTGGAATGACAAGGAGTAGGCCTTGGCTGTTGGGAATAATAACGTTGATGTACCTACTTTAGGAAGGTCAGAATCTCCAATTACCAAGGAGGAAGCTCACCTTAGCTGCTTCTAATGGAACGAGTTGGCGGCCGTTAGGTTTGGAGCAGAATAACATCGACGTTGACAAACCTGACAATAAAGGATACTTGGAGCCTGGTCAAGAAGGATTAAGATGCCAAAGTGAGGTGATGATCCGAGTGGGGGACTAAGCGGCTTCACCAGGATTTATCCCTGTAGGGACCAAGCTCAAACGGTATGAGCGAAAGCAGAGCGATTTCTTTTAGTTCAGTATCCACCAAACATTTCCGTGAAGGTGGTGGTTGTAGAAACGCCAGTTGACACATCTACCGTCGGGCAAGGAAAAAGACAAGAAGTTGCAGTTGGAAAATGTGCGAGGAAAAGTTCGGCCGGGAAGTGATACTGTGCCTCTCCTCCCTTCCCTCTCCAATTTCACTTTTCCCACTCTCTGTTCGTTCCACCCATCAACTTGCACCGGCTTCTTTCAGTGAAAAAGCGGAATCAAATAACTTCCGTTCTGATGAATGACTCTGCTTCCATCTCACATTCTTCAGGATTGTAACGCATGTCAAGCGCAGCTTTAGCAGGTAACCTTCTTGGCTTCAGCAGTTGAGAGGTCAACCTAGATCTTTATTAAGACGAAAGGGAGTTTATTTCTCTACTTTGTTTACACTATCTGGCGGACCTAATTTTGGAATATTTTAAGCTGACAATGTCACGGATTTTTCAGTTCCTTTTGGCGAACGAGTCCAACCAAACCATTCGCAGCCCCCTACGGAGAAGGAAAGGGACAAACCTACACCGGAGCCACGACCGTACATGGCCCCAGGAATCCATCAAGATTGCTAGCTTGGATACCTTCCGAACTTTATTATATGAAGCAGGAGATGGGGGGTTGACATTCAACTTAAGCTTCCGTGCTTCCAGCTCAGTTTTCTTGGACTGAAGGCTATGCAGGTTTTTGGTCTACTCCGAGTTTTGACGACAAAGGATACCCGCCTCTGCTTGGATTTTATCGTTTCAAGAATTGTGTACGGATGACAATCCTTCCCTGAGAATCCTCCCTCGATTTGGTCGAACTCGGATCCGAATCGTGGCTCGCCCCAACAGTGATATTTGCGCTGTACGCACCAGAAGACGTCGGACATGCTTTCGGCGATTCTCTTTTTACGTGAATGGCCGTCCTCATAGTGGGTATGTTTGGAGCACGGGTACATATATGTCTTGTCGGGTTAAATGCTTGTTCACCACTTGGAAGCGTTCAACCTGTTGTGTACACGCTGTCTCATATTATGTGCTAAAAGACGAATCGCCCAGCCAATCAGAGCACTTCTGTTGCTGTCAAAAGTCTGGCTACGAGGGAAGTCTGCTTCGCTTTTTCTCGAAGGTTATTATTCGAAGAGCGGGTGTAGGGGTTTATGTTTGACGGCAGGGCTAGGAGGAATATTCTGAGAGAGGCGAGGCTATATCATCCTAAAGTAAGCTAGATATCAGAGACATGCTAAATTGAAGTATCAATTAAGATTCGATATTAAGTGTGCTAGGTGAAGCACCAATCCATCATACCCCCTTTCCCTGGACAGCTGGATCATTACTCGTCGAAGCGCGGTCGCAGGTATGAAGGGTTTAGGCTTGCAGTCTGGAGATGAGATTAGCGCCGTTATATAAATGTTGAATTTGACGGGTTAAACGACAAGGAGTAGGTCTTCCCTGTTCGAAACAAGAATGATGATGCATTTGCTTTAACAAGATGACAGTTTCTAGCTGCCACGGAGGAAGCCCACCTTGGCTGCCTCTAAGGAAATCAATCGACCGGTCGTTGAGTCTGGAGCAGTATTACGTCGGCATTCGCAGACGTGATATTAAAGGAGGATGGCAGTGGGGCCAAGAAGGGTTAGGATGCCTAGGGGGGGTGGAGGTAGGTGACCGCACCGGAATTTGGCCCTGAAAGGACCAAGCTCAAACAGCAAGAGGGAGAACAGGGCGAATTTGTTTGGTTCAGTGTCCACCAAACACTTCGGGAAGGGGGTGGTTGTAGAAACTTCCGTTAACGGACCTACCCTCGGGCAAGGAGAGAAGACAAGTAGTCCCACTTAGTGATTGTGTGAGGAAAAGTTCGGCCGGGAGGTAATACTGTACCTCTCCTTCCTTCCCTCTTCATTTTCACTTTTCCCACCCTCGGTTTGTTCCACTGATCACATTGCACTGGCATCTTACACTGAAGAGACGAAATCAAATAACTTCTGGTTTCATGAATGACTCTTCTTCCGTTTCACACGTTTCATGATTGCAACGCATGTCAAACATGACTTCAGGTTACCTTGGGTGTCAGCAGCTGAGAGGTAAACCTAACTCTTTATTAAGATGAAAGACAGTTTATCCCTCTGCGTTGTTTATCTGGCATAGCTAGTTATTGAATACCTTAAGCTGACAATGTGACCGATTATTCAGTTCCTTTCCGCGAACGAGTCCAGCCAAGCCATTCGCAGCCGTCTTCAGAGAAGGAATGGGACAAAACTACACTGCCCCTACGACTACGCATCACCCCAAAGATTCATCGAGATTGCTAGCTTGGATACCATCCGAATTTTTAAATATCAAGCGGGAGATGGAGAGTTGGCATATATCTTAAGCCTCTGCGCTTCCAGCTCGTTGACACTCAACGCATGCAGGCGGATTTTCTCTTCCATATTTTGGTGACAACGGAAATTTGCCCTCTGCTCGGATGCTATCGTTGGAAAAGCTGTGTATGCATGATCCTTCGCTGAGAATACCCTTCAATTTAGTCGAGCTCGGATGCGAATTGTGTCTCGCCCTAATAGCGACATATTGCGGTGTGAGTCGGAGAAGACATCGCATACGCTCTGGAAGATTCCCTTTCTGCGCGAATGGCCATCCCGTATCGCGGATATATCTGGGAAACGGACACAGAAGTGACTTGTTGGGTTGGATGCCTTCCCACCACTTGGAAGGCTACAAACTGTTGACTACATTATGCGTCATCTAATCTGATAAAGAACCAATCGTCCAGTCTATCAGAGCGCTTCTGTCGCTATCAAAAGCCTGGCGATGAGAGAAGTTTGACTTACCTCTTCTCGGAGGTTATTATATGGAGAGTTATGTAACCTGAGAATGCTTTACTGAGAAAAGGACAAGAGACACCCTTGCAAGGACTCAGAAGCGATTTCTCACTCCCACTAACAGCGAGTCGCTCTTGGAACACAAACGAAGTTGGTCCTACACAGGATTAATTTCATTTCTCAATGTTGACTCAAGAATTGAACTGGATTGCCTCCCCGCACGCACTTGTACAAAGACTATGTCATGTCACTCTTAACACGCTCCATGAATTGTTTGAGGGTTTTCAATTCATCAGCAGAGAGAGGGATAGAATTTAACTCGAAATATTTCATGGTTACCTCCAAAGCCTTCTGTGCATCTTCTGTTGTAGGTTTATCCAACTCTGTTTCTGCTTCGGTTGCGCGCACGGTGACTGTTTCTTCGCCTGGACGTACTTCATACACTTGTAAAGGTGGCCCTGATCTATAAGTTAGGGTGGTGCCTTCAACTATGGATCTCGGATTCACGGGTGATAGAATGTTATTCTGATTCTGGAATCTTGTCGTCACAGCGTGTCCTAGATTTCCGTACTCGAGGGGTTTGACAGGGGACGGGTCAGAACTGGCAGATGGGAGGTCTTGGGGTGTATGCTTCAGGACTTTGGCAATTGTGCTTAGCCTATAATTTAGCTTTTCATGTAGTACCCGACATGGAAATTCCTTTAGTATACCTTCTGTCCCAGCCGAATGTGTCTATGCAGGTTCACTGGTCAGAATAATTTGGCTTGCATTGCATCGAGATCTTACCCGCAATCTGTTGCTGTGTAATATTTGGGTTCAACTCCTTGTATTTGCAAATTTCTCTTTTCTCTTGTGTGGTCATGGGTTGTCGTACTATTGATTGTCAGCCAAGAGCTTTTCCAGCAGACGATATTTCCAACAGAAGGAACAAATGGGCTTAATCTCAAAGAGGGAACACTTGTGAAAACCGAACTATTGAGTTTTAACCGCGGGTTGCAAAATGTTACTCTTTGGAGAGCGCTGCAGGTGATACTGGGGAAGGAACAGCGTTCAGGGCGGGATGTACGACATATTGGGACAGGCTGTAGTGAATCAAATTCCAACAAGAGAGAACAGAAGCCCAAATCAAAGTTCAATTTAGACAAGGTATGACTGCATTCATGGGCGAGTGATCGTAGTCTTACCTCTGCTTTTCCTCCGATTGCCCGCTCTGGTCTGTTTCCGCGATGATCTCGTCGCTCGTTCGTCCTGATTGCCGAAACCTTTGTCTTGCGTTGACATTCCTGTGAATGACCTTTGACCAAGAGTGGTCGTCGACGTCGGTAAAATGGAGGTTGGTGCCGACCATGACGACAGTCTCGTTTCGAGGGTCGATGGCTGCGTTGGTGTCCTGGTCCATGAAGATGACAGCGTCTGGAATTGCATCGAGGCGAGATACGGCGGTGCGGACAAATAGTACATCCCATCTAGGTCTATCGGCGGAGAGGGATGGTAGATAGACGGACAACTATCCGACATCGATGGCGGATGCGCCGGTAATTGGAATACGTTGAGCTTGAGTAAGTCGATTTCATCGTCTGGCGGCAAAGACTCATGGTGTGATTCCTGCATGACTAGGACTGATGAAAATTGTTTCTTTCGGCACACGACGCAGGCACACCGTGTGGAAGATCAAATGAGGCAAGAAGAATAATGCATGTGAATAATACCGAGGGAGGATTCCGGAGGAGGGAAGCCATTTTATGATGTTAGCGGAGCTGGTCTCCTCCCAGCAGGAAGCAGAGTCTCGGATAATAGTGGCAGCCGAAGTGCTAGGGCATATCAGTGGACTAAAAGCCCTGTTAGCGAGAAAAGGCAGGTTGCTGGGGCTTCGTCCGTGCTCCAAACCTAACTGAAACCATAAGACCCGCATACTTTTTGGAGGAGACTTTCATTTTGCGGATAATCATCCCTGTCGCGGCCCTTGAGGAGGATTTCAGACAAGAATAACTTCGAGTCATAACTTATTCGTTGGGTGTAATACACGACTTGACCACAGTAATGCCCAGGAAGGTCGCTGACTCGTAGTTCCGACTGTTCGTCTCCATGTGTTGCCGTCAAGAAGGAGAATGGTACACTGGACGGAAGGATGTGCGCGATATGCTGCAGTGGTTATCCCCCCCCTTTGCCCTCCCTGGTTCTCCACTGGGTAATAGTTCAACACTAGTAAGATCGACCCAGGTAAATGCACTTGAATCTATACCAGTTGAGGATAGACTCGGACTAGCCATCGCCTGCTCCGTGAATGCATATGCTCCGTGCATCGGATTTGTACGGAACCGTCCGGCCGGTCAACTCATTGCCTTGTAAGTTACTCTTGTACAGTTACTCCAACTCCTAGCTATGTTACAAAAATACAGGCCATTATATTGCCAAAGAAAAAGGAAATACCGATGTGAGGGAAGTTACGTTCCTCATGCAGGATGGCTTTTCCTCCAACCTCCCTTTTCACCATGATATCACTTCGAGCGTGACTAGTCAGCTTTGTCTGTCTTTGTAAAAACCAAGCCTGATATTTCAATAGCGAGAAAAATCCAAGAAGAATCTCTCGGAGATAATTCGACTTCTCTCACCAAGTCCGATTAGGGCAGTGGAGAAACGCGTATTATGCTAGGAGCAATCATGGCCCGGTCTTTTAGCGGTTTGAGAGACGAAATCATTCATGGGCCAAATACGACTGGGCCCACACCAGAATCCAACCGATACCACCAGTTAAGGCGCTATGAAGTTATTTATCCCTTTCCGCGCTTAAGTCCAACATTTCCAATCCATCCACTCTTAGCCACTTTTTGGTGACCTTTTGCTTTCGAACCTTCAATAACTGCTTGAGACTACGAGAAGAGTTCCCAAAACACGTGCAGGTTCCTACGTATTTCTGAGAACCTTATCAAACATCAAGTGGATGGAAGGAAACCTGGTTTCGGCCTGTATGAAGACGGAATTGGGCACGAAGGATGAACTTTCTTAATGGGCATGTGCTATTTTCCACGTACTATAATGGCGGTTTTGACTCGTCTCTTGGCAGCTTCCAGACCGTAAAGAAGTGTAATATTTCGGGTAATAGCCGAAGATGATCCATTCTTGGACATTAGGCCCAATCAACCCGCTGTGGTTTATTTGGGTCATGTGCAATGTGATATCTAGGGTGCAGCTGATTAGCCTGCTCTACTCCAGAACAAGCCTTTAATTACAAGGTGTTACGTAGAATTTGTATTATGAAGTATCATACCAGATTGACTGTGCCATTTAAGGGGTTCGTCCCCCGCTCACTCGCTCACTCGCCATTTCTACCATTCTTCGCACCCGTTGAGCGTTTTCTATCTTGCCTTTGAAATTAAGCCAAATTTCATTCTATTCGATCGACTCTTCAGCATGACCAGAAGAGATCTGGAAGACAATACATGCCCGTCTACCCGTTCCCATGAGGTATTAGGTGGGGCAGGACAGCCAGAAAATAGTGTACGTCGTTGTTGCCAGCAATAGGACATCATAATCCTATCCCTTCATGGGCTCCTGAGGCTAATTCTTTAAATACAAAAATATTAGGCACACTTTGCCTATAAAATCGACGGACAGAGACATGTTGCAGCACAGGGCGATAAAATTGGGATTGTCTCCGCCCTGAATGGCACGGAAATTACGGGTTTCTCAAAGGTTCTGAATGGCAGTGTTGTCGAAGCGCAGAAATCGCAGTCCAGCTGTCATGTAATGTATGGTGGCTCCGTAGAAAACGGGAGCAAACTTGTCAATGGCAATTTGGACCGAGAAAGCTTCCTTGAATTCTTCTGCAGGAAAAATTGAGATTAACTACTCGCTCTTGACTGGTAGTTTACTTTTGATAGTCTAGTGCTCACGATATCTCAGAGGTCGTTGCTGCTTCTTTAGATTGATTACCAGTTTCCTGTGACAGGTATATTTTCCTTTCTAATGAGTAGATGCATAAATTTCGTCCAAGAAATTGCGTACCAAACATTGTTATAAATTGGGGCTACATTCTGAAACTTCTGCTATAATGCTCACAATTTGCTTAAATTTACTGATGGCGGCTGTATTTTGAAGATGCATCGTGTTGGTGTAGAATTTGGGTGACAACTATGATGTCCTTGGTGATTTCATGGTATAAAAATGCCTTTCTTCGGTCTTCGCCGGTGATTCGTCTTCATTACGTCGACGTTATAAAATATCCTTTTTCTTAATCTGAGGTGCCCCGCTTGGGAGGAGGATGAAGGTTGCTATTTTATGAGGAGTGGCGGTTGTTGCGTTGACCTTTTGAGTATTGAAGGAGATAGATCCTACAAGAAGTTGCTGCGAGACATAGGGAGGCGGTACTGGCATGCCGTAAGCCTATCATTGGGTGAGGGGCAGTATTAAAATAGCCCATATTCCAATATTCCTTGTGGGCAGTGCAGTGAGGCAAATGCACTAATCTCAACAGATGTTGGTGGATTTCATGTCCATGGCTGCCTCTCTGCATGGATTTAAATCTCATTAGAACATGATGGAGTGAGGCTGCTTTGATGTTCAAAAAGGAGTATTAAATGGAGGATCATTATGAAGAGATTGGGGAAGGGGAAAGTTTTGGCCTTGAGAGAAGAACTTTTTGCAGACAAAGCAACCCAGTAATACGTTTTTGCCATGCCGTAACACTATACACCAGCATAATTGGATGCTTGTTGATTCTTGCTACAACTCTCCCAACCGTCAATAGAAAGCGCCACCCCAAAATGAAATTGGTTCTATGAACAGAAGGCAGTACGTGACAGGCAGTCTCCTTCCGGACTGCCCTGCCCCTGCCCGATATCACTGTACTAGTGATAGTGACCCGGGGATTCACTTGTGGATCTATACCCATTCAGGGTAGACGCGGGCCACCAGTAGACTGCTTTGTGTACATTTCGTCCGCTGAAACCGACGAATCCCGGAGTCCGTGCTTTTACTTTGCGCTAAGCCATGGTCACCGAGACCGCTTCCTTACGACTTACAAAAGATTACGGGTCAATTACGACGACCCACATGCTTTATGGCTGGATAGTCTTGATCCTCTCCGTTGAATTACCGCAAAGCCTGGATTCTAAAACAAGGTGATGGAAAAGCCTAGGTTTACCAAGAAGGAGGCGGACCAAATCAGCACTTGAAGCAGCAAGATATGCAACCTCTGAGAAAGATATGGCGGGTCAGATCTCTCATGCAGCTCCTCGCCTAGGTATATGATTGCACCTTTGACAAATTTAGATACGAAAACGTAGTGGCTGATCGTAGGAGAAAGAAAACTTATCATTGGTCAAGTTTGTCTAGATCGACGCATTTAAACCATTGCGGTAAATACGGTTACATCTCTCAGGAGCCAGTCGGTTCCTTGGTATGTAACATCGCACGGCTATCTCCTTCGAATTGATTTTATTTTTAACGCTTGGAAATGTCCTGTATTGTAAACCCTCGTAAATACAGTCCGAGCACCGGCCTTCTGTGCTGCCGCGCGGGCCACTCCTGCACTGTTGACCTAGCCATATACCAGCTTCTAAGCTCGTCTAGTGGTATTCGACTACCAACAATGGCCCCCTGCATCAGGTCTGGAAGGCATAAGTAGCTGCACTCTTGCAACTCTTTGATTGCGACGGAAGGCACTGTGATTCTTCATAATCTAGCCCCTCGCATACTTCTTTTTCTATACTATTGCTTTCACTCGAATTGCCTACCCAAGTCTGCACAAGGTGATAATGCCTCGCGATAACTTCCTTCCTTCTTTGGATCGGTGTATTTTTCACTCCACAACCGAGATTTCCCAAATTCAATGGAAAAACTGTTGGTGGATTCTCGAAGGCAGCGTCATTCTGAGGGCATTCAACTTGGAAGAAATCCTTCAGATAATCCGTTACCGACCATTTCCGGACGTTAACTATCCACGTTCATGCTTGTTGGAGCGTAACACGGCATTTCTGACCAGCTTGCTTACCACGCCAGAGCCTGAGGGACATCCACCACCTTGGAATCTCTCTCATGAACAAAAGGTCGAGCAGATTTTGTCACGATCCATCCCTCCTTTCCAACGCTTAGTGTGGAACTGGTCTCCTGCGTCAGGCTGTTCACAAGATGCACAGGTGATAGCCGATTCAATCGAGGCGGAAAGCCATCTTCAGTTCGGCATGATCCCGTTTGAGGAGATCGTCCGTGCATCTCTTGGGTACAGAACAGACGCTTTTGAATGGTTTTTACACCAACATACACAACTTTATCAAATTTTAGTCAAACACCTTCAGCACCATCCTGAAGAGATTCCTCTCTATAAAAGTGTTGAGAAGGTATGTTTCCTTCTTCAATGATCAAACCTTCCGAGGCAATCTAACAAGAAATTTTGAAAGGTCTTACGAACCAAAAGTCCATTTGCCCATCGAGCTTTAGTGCAAAGCATTTTTGATGCCCTACCGGAAATGACTCACGATGACATACCTCGACCCGCGGCGACTCCTGGTCTTGAATTCCTGTCAAAGCCCATCCAACGCCTATTCCTTCGGCCCCCTCCGACTTTGAAAATACTGCTTAGTATACTCGACGTTTTGGCTATTCGCTTCCGACGAGAGTACATTGATACCCACACAATGGAATGGACTCTGGAGTTTGACACACAATTAATATTCCTCGAAGACTATTATGACTTGATCACAGCCGAGGATTTGGCTCTCGAATTGATGGAAAGAGATTTGACTTTCATTCAAGGGTTCACAAGGACCCAGACAGACAACTGCTTTCGACGCGTTGTGGATGATATCGTCGCTAATGATGACTGGGTTCAACAGTTTAGAGATTACTGGAATAAACTAAGCGATTCTGTATGGGACTGCTGCATTGCATCGCCACATATTGTTCCAGACTTGGAGAGTTGTATGGAGGTAACTCTTCACGGTCTGTTTTCGTACTTACTTAACCATGGCCATCTCTAACAAATCCTTAAAATAGATCCTTCTCAAGGACCGAAATTATCATTCCCTGACAGCCATGGCGGACGGTATTCACAAATATCACGTATCAACCGGAATATGTGTGCCGGATACCCCATCTGATGCAATGCATTTGATGAACTCGGCCCATAACTATGCCACATATCTCCAGCACTTTCAAAAGTATCCTGGGATCCCGTGGGTTCTTCCCCATCTCCGTCATCATCTTTTGGATGATCATACCAGCATGAAGGATTAGTTCAGATTCCGCACATGCTTTATGGCCGCATCGTCTTGATCCTCACCCTGAAAATTGTGACCAACCAATGCTTGTGAATCCTGAATTCGAGAATGATGATATTCAAGGCGGGTGGGAAATGCCTAGGACGAACGAGTGCGTCCTATTATTAGTCCAAACTGTACTGATGAAGGCGTAACTTTCAGCTGTACTGGATCGGCTCCGCATTGCACATCTTGACAGGCAATCGGTATGATATGCTAGTATTGGAAGAGATGGGATTGGCCCATCGAATATTAATGCACACCACCGATCAATCGAGATGCCGAGAAATGGAATAGTCATAGTTTCTAATGAGGAGAGTCACAAAGTTTATCAGCGGCGTGAACCGACCCAGTTGTGTTTTTTGTAAATACGGCTATATCACGCAGGTAATATTTCTACACGGACTGGCTGGCTTTCCCAGCAGCGGCTCGTATCATTCGAGTTCGATGCACACGGGGCGATTATTGCCAAGTTGAGATTAGCGGCTAGCTTGACGCCTCTTGTTTTGTTACACGATCTTTCCAAACACCATGTCACAAATGCTGGTGGGGCACTCAATTACCACCAATAAACGCGTGCTACTGCTGTCAAGAAGGCTTCTCCGTCATTTGTTACCGTAACCTTGAGTTGGAATGCCTCCACGATCCAGGCTTTGCGATTTTTCTTTTGCCTTGACCCTGCAGCTAACTGTCAACTTATTCGCGAGAGTTCCACTGACCTCCTGAAATTCTCCACAATGCCATACTATTCCGAGGATTCTTTCTGACCATTTGCATCCTGCCCATTTACAATTTACAATATTCTGTTTATTTTGAATGATCGACCCAATAGGATGAAATTCCAGTCAATTTACTCGCTAGGCAGGAAACATGGTTAGTGAGCGGGGAAAGAACCGCTTAAATAACCGATTCAATCGGGCATGACACTTCGTACTACTTCATCTACGTAACACCTTGTATTTCAAAGTCCCAGAGGCATAATCCAAGAGGCCCTACAATTTTGGGGACCTTTCTGGAGTCAACAACTCCCTCACAAACTAGTGTCGTCCATTTGAAAAGAAACGTGTACGCAATCTGAGGGGCCGGGGTCGCATTCCCAACACCCACATAATGAGATTGTTTGGTGACCCTATATTTGTCACTCTCACCATCTAGATGGAAAATGGATCTTCATAGGTCAGATCGTCTTAATGTGAACATCACCTCGTTTTACATGTACAGCAGGATTGTTGGTTCTAGATTAAGATTAGCGGCTGGACGGCGATCCTCGTTTTGTTACAAGATCTTTCCAAACACCATGTCACAAAATGGTGGGGCAGCCAACCGCCACCAATGAACGCGCTGGTGCAAGGTAAAAGGACCTTGATCAACTATTTGTTACCGTAAAGTTGTAGGACTAACATCGGTACGGCAATTCCAGACGTGCGAGCTTTCTTTTCGCTTCGAGTCCGAGTCCAAATGCCATCTACTCGCCATGAACGCTAAGCCAAGTTCCAAGGTACTAGCGCGGTCATCGTCAACCGCCGAACTTTACTTCGTAGAGCAATCCTCAGTAGGGTCAAATTAACTTGGGTGAAGGCTTTGATGTGGCGTTGGTGCTTGGATACGTAGATGGGATGGTACCAGTATAGGTACTGCAGGTACAGTGCTACTCATACGTGTGTAAGAACCTTTCTTATGCCGGAATAGGTCTTGGTTCCAGTGCCATAGCCGGCTCAACACCGGCTCTCCGCTACCGTCACGCTTCTGCTTCCGTTATGAGCGCATATCAGCGCTTCCTCTGTTTCTTCCCCGATAGAGGACGGAGTCGTATGGCTTAGAATCGGCGACTTGACTCGTTGTGCATTGATTTTAATTTCCACTACAACAGCAATTACCACCATCTTTATTTGCCCAGAATTTGATATAAAATTACTCAAAGATGCTTTCGCGCTGCTTACTAATGTTTTGCTTCCAAATTAGGCTGACTACACGTTAATTCTAAATACTCAATGGAACTGTATCATTCTTTTCATCCAGCGGTACTTTGTAGAAATTGGATCATCTGGCCCCTTGTTCATTGACAACTATAGAGGAATTGCCGGAGGTCATTCGTAAAGGAGGCGAACCACTTAACGCCCAAAGCAGCCGAATAGAGAACCCTCAAGAAATATCTGGCGGACCAGATCTCCCATGTAGCTCATCACGCCAGTATGATCCAAGTCGTTACTAGTTTTTGGGAAATGATGCCCTTTCGTTTCATCCAATGATGCAAAACCATTTACCGGATAGAATTCAGGCATATATTTGAGGTTTGCAACGAGATTGTAATCCCTTGAGGGATCAAGAAGGTAGGAATGCTGCTGCTTGGCGTGGACCCGGGACTGGCTGGCTTTCATTCCTGATATAACAGCAGTAAAAGAAAAGAAGTTTCGATGACGGTACAGCTCCTGAAAATGATCTGTGAATGACAGGCAGGGCCAGGTGAAATTTTCCCAAACTTACCTGGGCAAATTGGTTCATCTCCGGCCTACTGACGACACCAGTATCCATATATTCCTTAACCGAGTGACAGAGTCGGTTCCAGCGGTCATTAATTTCACACAAACTTTGGGGATCTAGTATCGTAGATTGGGTATCGAGTTGCTTATAGAAAGCATAATCCTCTCCTGACAAAACTTGCGCCTGTGCGAACACTCCGATGTGTTTTAAACGCCGCAGGATCTCGGTGCGATCATCGAATGGCACATCCCAGTCTACTTTCGCCGTATAGAAGTGGCCGTAAAACCGAGCCTTCGAGGCTTCCAATTCTTGGAGTATAATCCGGACCGGGTCGGGCTTTTGAAGGATTCGCTGCAATGGCCTGGTGACTAGGCTCAGGGCTGTCTCCAGCTTAGAGCACACATCATTGGTCCGCTCCGTGCTATCACTTTCCAAAGCAGTTACCGTTGCTGCGCACAAGAAGGGATCGGCCTTTCTTTCCTCTAGGCACTGATCAATGTTAAAACGTTTCTCCTCCAGATGTTGGAGATACAGTGGTTAGCTGACTTACCTCCTTCAGCTGGAATAAAAATTTTCTGTGTTCATCGTCTCTGGCGAAGTTCCAGTACAGCATCACACAGAGAATCTCATATTGGAAAAGGAAGCGCGCAACTGCCGCAGAGTAGACCCCCCAAGCCTTTCGTACAAACTCTTCGAAGTCAATGAGTTTGAACTTGTTACGACTTTTTTCAGAAAGCGTAGAAGCGGCTGACGCAGGGCCATCTCTGATAAGTTGAGGAAGATTCAAATCCCAATCCATTGAGACGCTGAGACTATCCTCAATCTGAGGATAGAACTTTCCTATTCCCCTTAACTCGGCGAAATCATCGTTGTAAAGTCCAAATCTGCACAGCCGGCTGATGGATATCTCATCCCCTTGAAGTAGTAAAACCTCGATCTCTTGTTTCCTCCAGCATTCAAACCTTAGTTCCTCGTATTCTAAGGCTCGATCAACCTTGGGTTCGCTCGGGGAGTATAACGTATATGAAATCTTTGTGGATCCGGAGCTCGAAAATGACGATATTGAAGGTGAACGAAGAATAGCTAGATACAAAAATTCGTCTTCTTGTTAGATTAAACGGCCAGATTAACTTGGTGATGTCATACCTTTTTGGCTGTCACCACTTAATTTCGCATTGCACATTTTGAGGGGTACCGACATACGGAATGCTGGCAGTCAAAGAGAGGGACTGGGCCCTCATATACTGATGCAGATTTGACAGAAATAGACGTAGCTCCTGATCCTAGGAGACGGAAACTTGTCATTGGTCAGGGCCGTATGGACTGACCCAGTAAGGGCATTACTGTAAATACGGTTCTATCTCCCAGGAGCCAGCTAGTATAATTCGGAGGGAAGCGCCGTGATCGGCGGTACTTAGTTAGGCACTAAATACATTACTTGGGATTTCTCTGTAGCATGCGTTGGGGTAGCCTAGCATGACTAGCGGGAACCATAAGCCCCAATAAAGTGAAGGCGATTGGCTCCCGAGGGCGCGGCGTCCGAGCTGGTCAGGGGGAGGACGGTACTCTACTATCGGTACTGCAGGTACAGTGCCTCTCATAGAGGCACTTATAGGTTCCTACGCAGCTCTGATAGCCGGATTGGCCGACTGGCAGCACGGAAGTACTGAAAAGTCTTTCTAACCTGTATGGGGATGGGGATGGTCACCAAGAACGTGGCTGCTTCTTGACAGTAGCTTGCGCCATTTTCCAAACGCTATACTAGGTCTCTTGCGCAAGGCCTTGTAGAAATATGCTAACCGGGTTAGATTAATTAGCCTACTTTACGGTCTAGGCCTGAGCATCATCGAGGTATGATCTCCGTTAACGAATCGCTTATATATCTGGGCAACGAACAGTAGAAGTTGGAATTATTAAGTTACCGGGCTGGCATCGCCTTCAGTATTCCATTTCTCAATTTATTCACCCCTTAATGGTGCATTTCCACGATCAACGACCTACTGTATCGCAAAAAGATTAAAGATGCTCCCAGCTCTACTCCCATCTTCAGCTATTGCATTTGCACCGCGATCTCCCCCACACGTTGTTGTGAACGCCATGTTTCCAGATTGGATGAAGGCCAAGCTAAAGCAAGTCAACCGGTTCAGGCGACCTCTAAACAATTCTATACAATCTGCTCTGTGTCTCAAAACAGTATTGTCTCAGGACAATGCAAACTGGACCTTGTGCTCGATTATGCTACCACAGGGAAACGTGATAGACAGCTTAGTCTTTCAGATCATCCACATCGAAGCCTATGTTGTGCATGTTGACATGGTTTCACGAAACGAGGTCGCATTTAAACTTTGTCAACACACCATTGACGCTCTGGTAGACTTTCACCAAAGGGTTTTTTTGGTTGATGCTGCGGACAATGCCAAGAGCCTATGGGCGAAAGAAGCAAAGCTTCAAAGGCTGCAAGAAGAATTTGTGGATGCAGTAAACAAGTTCGCCTTTTGGACAAAATCTGAGGTATTGCTGGGCTTGGAACAGGACGGCTCTGGAGAGCTACTTGTTGACATGAGTGAGAAGGCCAAAGAAAAAGTCATCGACCTTTTCAAGCCACTGATACTTCCATCCTCCATCGTAGGTACTGGTTATGATTGGATATGCCCGACTGTCTATAACCCTATGCTGGCCGATTTGGATGAAGAGGCATTGGCCGGAAGCATGTGGGCTTACCTTTGACTTCTCAAACCTCGTCGGAATGCCTAACTACTCCTTGTATAGTAGTGTATTCTGGGAGCACAGGTTTTGGTTTTTGGAGAATTACAGGAGACTAGGGTGAAGATGAGCCTGTACATAATTGACCGTACCGGAAAAGTTATCATAGCATGACTTTAATCTACAGACCAGTGCAATCAAACACGTATATAATCCTGCAATGCCCAGTTTAAGTGGAGCAAGTCACAACCATCCTTGAAAATGTCTCTTGTTATGAATATATACATTTCTTCAACAGCAATCCTTTTCCCCGTATTTTAACGTTATAGCATGGCCTAAGACCAAAATAGCTTTCAACTTTCTCCTTTTGTGTTCACCTATCCGGACAGAATTTATTGTTTGATAAATTTCCGTCATTGGGATCCCCAAATCATAGTAGAGTCCTTGGGGAATTAGTTCAACAATCCTAGTAAATTGATAGGGAGGGGAGACGCATACTGTTCTCCTTGAATCGCTTCCAGACCTCAAAAGCTTCGTCCAAGTCAAGTTCTTCAAAAGCCTCTCTCCAGTATCCCTCGAATACACTTATGTAGAGCAGCTTCTTCTCTTCAGGTTGCATATTCCGACAAGGACCATGATTGAATGAATCTAGGAGTCGCAATGCGTCGACGACCTCTTCGTCGATCTCTGGCAGTGGATTGTCCGCACATGTTTCAACAATTGGGGGCATCATCTGAACCGGTAGGTTGCAGGATTTTGGTAGCAAGGATCTAGCATGAGATCGAACGCCGTTCTGTGGCCTAATTAGATTGATATTCAACCCTCGGTGGTTATCTTACCAGTTGGTACAATCGGTATGTGGCACATGGGCAGAATGACAATGGTCGGAGTGTTCAGCGCAGGCTGGGGTGAAGCAAGAAACTAGTCACGAGGAGGTACTCACGTGCCATGTGTTGGACTTGGAGGGTTATGTCCACTGTAGTCCCCTTTCCACAATTTAGTCGATTTTTAATTCAAGGAAATTTAATGGTATGCAATGTTGGGGCCTGTTCCTAGGAACTTTACTGGTCAAAGCAAGAAAAAAGGTCGCCTAGCCGGAATTGCCGCTAACCGATGTAAATTAGTCCTACAACTGTACGGTAACAAATAGTTGATGAAGGCCCTTTTATCTTGAACCAGCGCGTTCATTGGTGGCAGTTGGCTGCCCCACCATTTTGTGACATGGTGTTCGGAAAGATCTTGTAACAAAACGAGGATCGCCGTCCAGCCGCTAATCTTATTCTAGAACCAACAATCCTGCGGTACATGTAAAACCAAGTGATGTTCACATTAAGACGATCTGACCTATAAAGATCCACCTTTCAATTAGATGGTGAGAGTGACAAATCGAGGGCCACTCAAATTACCTATGCGTCTCCCTTTGGATGAATGGGGCTAGTCTGTGATAAGAGCTACTGACTCTTAATTAAATATCCGACCGGCATGATCGAAAACGAAATAATTTCCATTTTCAATGAGCTCTAAAGGCTGCTCGTTGAGGGGTAGCTCCGAATAAGAGAATGCGTGATGAGATGTCGCAAGGAAAAAGGAATGTCGGAAAGACCCGCACGAAGCGATTATACGATAAGTCAGGTAGTAGAAGGAATACTTACAATAGCACGGCAGTGTGGCAAATCTTAGGGGTAATGAAAAGTTGCGAAGTGGTGGAACTAGCGCGAATAATCTGACAGAGTAGCCGCAAGGTCAAAGCAAAACAAAGCAAGCAAAAAAATAAAAAATGGCAGAGCCTGGATCGTAAAGGGTATGAGCTGTCTTAATGTTACGGTAACAAACAGTGGAGAAGCCTCCTTGCCATCAATAGCACCCGTTCATTGGCAGAAATGACTGCCCCACCAAGATTTGTGACATGGTGTTTGGAAAGATCGTGTAACGAAACAAGGGGGCCACCGATCTAGTAGCGAATCTCAATTTAGAAATAGTCGCCCCGTGCGCGTCGAACTCGATGATACGATCCGGTGGCTGAGGAGCCTAGTCCTACGTGGGTTGCACGAGCCAATTTATTTTCGGACTCTTTGACGTTAGCCCGAGAGTAGGCGTTGGACGGGACAAAAGCGCGAAAGGTGATGATCACATTTTAGAGTACTAATGATTACAACCTGACCTGGCGACATTATTCTTTAATCACCTCCCTACCGGATCTATATGCATCTGTTGCTTGTGTTTTTCTGAAGGACCGTTTGTCCTCCACAGATTTTGGGCCCCATCTGGTCATCCGAAATGCCCTCACAGGAAGATTTTATCTCTTTTCAGCAGGACATCAGGGACTGGCTTTTCGCACCATGTCGGTTAAAATCCCACTTGCATTTCCATTCCATCGCAAGCTATGGAAAGCTGGCAGCCTCGGAAAGTGACAACTACCTCCAATCGTCTTCACTGCGAAAGGAGATAGAACAGCAATGGCGACTTTCGACTAATTTTGACTGTGCCGTACAAAACCAACCCAACTACGGCCGAGATTGGACGGAAATACGCCGCTATCTAAACAAAGACCTTGTATCACAGGCGATCCGCGAATGCTCCTCTTGTTCTCTCTTCCTCCTGGAACTTGGGCTTATTTCACCATCATCCTACAACTGTGCTGGGGAATGTCTTTTTTTCCTTGCGTGCAAAGAAGGTGTCTGGGACATTGCCCGGCGTATT